AATGGTTTTTATGGCACATGGCTAAAAGCTAAATTAGAAATTTATATTTTTACTTCACCCTTTGCTGGTTCAATAATAGATGTTAAATCTTAGAGAGAAACAACTTTTAAACAACAATGCCTTTTTGTCATGCCTATATCTAGATTTAAGGTATGTTTTAAAAATATTATATTATATCTTATATCAACGATTAAATTTATACTATCTCCTTATAGATAATTTGAGTGCAAATCCTGAAAATATATTAATTATGCGGCTTAATAAAAAAAATTTAAGTAAATGAAGTTAAATATTAATTAATCATTGATATTTATTTGTTATACTTATAAATTAAATATTTTTTTATAATGTGCAATCAATAAAAATGAAAGTTTTATGAATGTGTTTTTTATTTTAATGATGAAATAAAAAAAACATTCTTCCCTATACATAATGCGAATGTAGGTTTAAATAAAAAAGTGTTCAATTAGAGGTTCGAACCGAATCGAATTGAACCGAACTGATATTTTTATTTTTACAAACTGAACCTAAACCTTGAACCGTTATTATCCGAACCTGAACCTGATTCGAACCGATATTCGCTTCGGTTTGGATCCCTGCAAATAACCACATCTGAAACTATTAGATTTTGTTATCAAAAAAAAATAGGAAAATATTTTTGCTTTATTTCTGAGAATAGGGGACTAATTCAAAAATAAACTTAAATTAATTGAAGCACGCAAAACCTTTTGTATACTCAAAAATAAGTGCAAAAATGAATATATGTATATTGAATTTAGATAACCTTAACGTAATCTATGTGTTAGGTTTTGTTTCATCTTGATGTGTAGAAGCATTTAAAAAATTTATTGTATATAGAATGTATAATTTTTATTATATAACATAATATTTTGATTTTTGCATGAGGCAAAAGGAGGTTAGGTATAATGGCAAAAGAATTTAAAGCCACGACGAAAATAATATCAATAAGCCCTAAAATTTCGCAAGAAAACTATTTAATTAAAATATTAAAATATTTCTGTACATGGGTTCTATTTATTTAAAAATAGGGAAACTAATTTTTAAAAAATCGAGTGCTAATCCATTTTTCAAAATTTAGGCCAATTAAAAATTTGGGTGCCTTGCACCCAAAGCCCCTAGTTAGCGACATCCCTGGAAGCAAATAAAGAAATACAATACAATCTCTACAAAATTTTCAAAACTTGCATTTGTATTTATTCTATGTATCTAAAGAATTGGTCCACTTGATAATGAATTCAAAACATCTCATTCTAATTTCCCCAAAAATTTATTGGTAATTTCAGATTTCGATAAATTGCCAATTTTTAAACAAGATGGAAACCGAAAATATAATATTTCGGGGTAAGAATTTTAATTTATTAAATAATATCAATGATTAGAATTTTTAGTATTATAACGAATTGATGAGTTTTTAATGAACCTATTATAAACAGGAAAAAAATAAAATAGATTATCTGCTCTATCTTTAATTTTAATTAAAGAATTTAAAAGATAATAATCATTTTTATAACGCAATTGAACATATTACTCAAAGGCAAATTCTTCCTATTTGTAAATCTTAATATTTTATATGGTCTCACTAATAAAAAAAATTAATTGATTTGCTTTTCTTTAATAAACATGACCCTTCGCTTTGATAATCCAGTTTTAAAAATTGCAGTTCTAAAGTTAGTGGGGGAAGGGTGTGAAACACCCAGTACTTAGTTAACTATGGGTCTGCATTTCTGACCCTTCAGAAATGCTTACATATATAGGAAGAAGTGTTGTCATTATATATCTTTAGGGTGTAGGTAGATAGTAAAAAAATATATTTTGTAGAGGAATAAATCTAGGCCTGTTACTTGCAACTTTTTTGATTTCATATAGATGCCAGGTCCGATTCCAGACCTATGTTTCTTTGCTCCCCACAATTTCAAACTGCCCCCCCCCCTCCCTCCAAAAAAATTTCCCATCTGCCGCTACCCAAGTTTTTATAAATTATTTTGGTTTCTGAATATAATATTTTTTTAATAAACTGTTGTTCAAACTAGATATCCAAACCGAGACAAATATCGGTTCGGTTTAAATTCCCTTTCGGATAAAAATAACGGTTCAAGGTTTAGGTTCGGTTTGTAAAAATTATAATATTGGTTTGGTTTAAACCTCTAAAAATGGTTTGAATTACAAACTTACATTTGAATTATATGTTAATTTGTTGTGGTATTTCGATTTTATTGAGTTCTAGAGGGGAGCTCCTTTTTTAGTGATGCTTTTTGCTCCGTGCTGCCAATTTAAGTTACGACACAATCAGTTATATTACATAATACTATATGTATTATTTTATATATTTGATTGAATTTGTCTATAGACATCATAAACTTAAAGATATTTTAAAAATGTTTTAAAATGGTAACATGCAAATGTTTATAAAAAATAATGACTGACACTTATCAATCAAAATTGATTAATAATAGTCTTTAAAACAATTCAAAAAGTTAGATTTTAGCAATATACTAATAATATAACTTTCATACTATTTTATAAGAAGAAAATCATGAGGTTCGAACCGGTTCATAGACATTTTAGAAATTCCGTTTGGGTTCGCTAGAAAATCTTTTAACAGTTTAGATTCGGTTTAGGTTCACTAAAAAATACAGGTTATAGTATCGGTTTAACGTTTCGGTTCAGGTTCAGTTTGGATCCCTAGTTCAAACCACTATAGGTTTAAAAATAACTATTTATTCATGTCTGCTGCTGAAATACAGAATAACGCCAACGTACCTTATTGTATTGATGAAAGTCAACATGTAAATGTAATTAATTTGGTGAAAGAATGACAATGATCAAGATGCCAAGATTCAGAATAAGGAAAATGAGCCTGAGCCTAGAAAAACAAAATGGATAGTTTAGATTTTTAAGTTATATTGCAAATAATTTATAACTGATTTAAATTATATATAATCAAATAGACCAACATCAAGATAATTCAAAAGCAGCGTCAATATGAGCGGGAGGAACAGTTTGCATCCGAATTTTTTGAGAGGGGTAGGGGGTAGGATTAAAGGGTGGTAGAGGATAAATTTAATGAGATGGGGAGGTTATCTATTAAATTTTTAGATGAAATAGGACAAAATTATAGACCTATTATAATACAACGATATTGCTAAACATCAACTAAATCTATATATGGCACACAATAATATACAAACTAACTAGTCAATTAAAAAAAAAATTAAATCAAAATAGCCATTTTAATTTTCTAGACATAAAAAATTAAAACCTTTATTGGCAATCAATATTACTGAAGACGGATTGGTAATTAAAATTGAGCTTGTTAACAAATTATTTGTTATAGTTTAGAAAATTATAAAATTTTATTAGATATGATTTTCTCAAATATACCCATATAAAAATACATTTCCAATTGCATTTCCAATATTTTTTATCAGTATATATCATTCACATCGAGTTGCAAGTAAATTTTTTCATTATGATTTATTAAATCAGATAAAACATTCGATTCGAGTAATGATATAAGAAAGGGCAACTTGGTTTTATTAGGACTTGTAAACAACACAAACGAAGCTATTAGGAATTTTAGGGCATTTAAAAATACATCTCAACCAAAATTATATTGTTAATACTTTATTTTTGTTAGTTTTACACTGCTCAATCATTGATATAATACCAATTGTAATATAGTTATATATATTTTCAATTACATATATTTTAAAATTGAATCACTAACAAATATTATACAAGCACAATTTATCAACGTTATTAAAATGAAAGTAACGAAATACAAAAATTATATTAGAAAGAAATAACGAAATACCAAAAATCTATATATATATATCTTTTACCTTTTTTCCTTTTTTAAGTATTAATTATATATCTTTTACCTTTTCTTCTTTCTTTATTAACTATTGAATCCTTTATTCTCAAATATTTCTTTATTCATAAATTTCCAAATAATAAGTGATAGTATATACATAAATTTCTCTTTTTTAAAACAAAAATAAACATTTTTTTTCTTTGTTGACACTGTATTTTTCTTTTTCCACAAAAATAAACAAATCCTTATCTAACAACAGGTTCGTAGATATATATATAAATTAATTATAATCCTTTAAAACATAATAATTTTTATCATCCCAATACAACAGTTATTATATAATATTTGTAAAATCATTTAATTAACTTATTTCTATCCAGTTATTAGTCAATTCTTATCTTCCATCTAATTATATAAACATATTTGTTCATTGCATATTATGGTTTCAAAAAATCGTATTTCAATTTTGTTTTCAAATAACTTAAATATTTCCACGGTGTTAAAATTTTTTTGCCTCTCCAAAATTTATGTCTCCCCCCTCCCCAATGGATTAAGCTCGTACAGGTTCTGAAATATGCTATTCAATAAATATTTTGGCCTGAAAAATTGTTGATCCGTAATGTAAAAAACTATCAACATAATTTTAACACTTTAATTGTTCATTTTGTTGATTTAAATATAATCATTTATGTTTTATACCTCGTGGATAAATATATTACATTTATAATGCGCTTTAAAATATTTTTTGGTTTATGACATAAACAATAATTTAAGAAAAAAAACCCTATAATAATATGTTGAACATAGAATCTGATAATCAAATCAATACAAATATGATTTTTAAACCAATAAAAAATGTATTTAAAAATAATCAGAAGAAGTCTAAATTCAAAAAATGGAGACGTAAACATTCCTTTCAAGGAATATCTTCTCAAAAACTCAAAGAATCTTTAAATATTACACTCAATGGACATAAACTTAAGGATATTAATAAAGTAATTTCTAATTTAATATATAAAGATCACATTCTTTTGGAAAAATCAAATATTGCACTTATTAAAACAGAAGAAGCATTAAAATTAGTTGGAATTGATAAACTTCTAAATATTGTTATTAAAAAATTAAATCATTCTAATTCACACAAAGAAAATTTAAGGAAAAATTCTGAATCATATGACAAAAATTTAACACAGATAAATGTTCCTCAAGCAGTGTTTAAAATTATTGATGAAAACATTAACCATTATATGGAGGGAAATTTAAACAAAAAATTATATGTATTTGATGAGAATAACTTAAAAAGGAGTAATGATGATATAGAATATGAAATGGATGAAGATGATTATGAATGGATCAAATGTATAAATGAATCAAATGATTGCAAAATTTTTGAGCACACATTTGAATATTTAATTGACAGGATAGAAAAAAAGGCCTTTATCAGTTACAATTTATCATATCAAACTAATGATAAATTATACAAGCCAAATAAATCTATGATGAAAAAAAATTTGAAATTTGAAAGGACAGGTATTTAATTTAGAAATATTTTAACAAATTTATTTATTTTTATTTTACATTATTTAATTACATTTTCTTTAGTAAACAGTCCTACAGGCACCATGCTTATTTTTGCTATCTAAGAAGTGTGCCCTAAGATATATTAGGGATTTGCTGAGGTAAGATTTTTTAGGCCTGGACTGAATTCAAATATTTCCAACCTTTTCTTTCCCTAAAATCTGGCCTTTTATTTGTAGACCTAGATTTTTAAAATTTATTAAATGGCTTGATTCAGATGTTTAATTAGATAATTTCATAAAACATTGATCAAGTAGCATTTATCCCAAGGCATTGCTATTTTTGTTTAACATCATATTTTACCTTTTTTAGGCACTAACATGAAATTTTATTTTAAAAAGAATCAGGGCTGTGAACTCTCCTTCTAAAAAAAAGAGTTCGGATTTTGGTTTAGTAAAAAATCTGAATTGGGTTGGTTCAAGGGGGTGCAGTGTTCAGAAATTTTTTAATTTACTTAAAATAGATACACTAATATAAAAAAACGATTACATGAAAAATTATTTTCACAAAAAATGTTTTTAATATTGAAAATAATGAAAAACAATGATATTTTAAATATTTAATATGTTTTTTATAAATTTTACATATTATTTTTTTTAATGCTGTTAAATTTTTTTTATAATTTAAAAAAATTATTGAAACCTGAACCCTACATTTAACAGAATGTTCAGCGTTCTGTTTCAATAAAATCTCAGGGTTTTATTAGTTCTGGTTCAGGGTCTGGGTTTGGGTTCACAGCCCTGAAAAGAATGTAATTTTTAAAAAATTCAGATATCCCATAAAATATGAAAAGCAAATATATGTTAAATGATTTTTCATGTTATTTTTTAACTGATTGATAAATAATATTTGAAACATTTTAAAATATTTTTGCATGGTTGTGTTAATTTTTATAATCTTAAGCTCCTACAAAGTTATAATTTTTATTTACCTTAGGTCCAGCCTGGATTTCTAAGATCATTGCCTTTTACTCCTTGTAGACACAACTTGCCAAATAATGTTTAAAATTTAAATAATTTTAACTTATAATAAAAAACAGCATATTAGCTCAATTTATATTTTTATCCATACAAGGGAAGGGAATATGAAACTTGGTCTTAGTTATTATATATCCTTAGACTTATAATAATGCTATAAGTTGATTATAATTTCTCCACATATCAATTTTCAAATCATACTTTTACTATCACTATTATATAAGGCTCTATTTCTATTAAAATTGAAATGGCCAAATAAAAAACTAAATTGTTTTATAAAAAATAAAAATTGCTTAGATATAAAATAGAAATGCTCTGAACTAGTCACCTGAAATATGCTTTCTTAGTACTATTAATTTTAAAAATTTGTATCAAAACTAAATCAGTGGAAAAAAATAACTCCTCTGGCCATCTCCAGACGGAACGTTTTTTCAAAGCGGTTTTTGAATAATGTTAGCAGCAATCAATTTCTTATTTCCATAATAATGTTAACTGCTCTAATTAATTTTTTAATATAATAATATTTAATAAAAACAATCTACATCCCCATTTTTTTAATCGTATGGGGCCATAAAGTTAGAGCCAATATAAAGAAGTATAAATTAGATAAAAGAGATTGTATTAATAACATAAAGTGGAGAGAGATGTTGAAGGTGCTTACCACCAGAAAAGGTGAAAGCTAAAGAGAAAAAAAAATAGAAAACAAACTGATTTGATTTTAATAACGATTAAATGTCATTTTGAAATGTGACTCTGGATATATTATATAAAAAAATTAATTCTAGAATTTGGCATTTTTTTTGAAAATAAAAAAAATGGTAACATTACCCAAAAACCGCTTTGAAAAAACGTTCTGCCTGGAAATGGCCTCTGAAAACTTTTTTGAAATATAATTATCTTTTTAAAATAATATCTAATTTAGTTTTATTTAAATTTATCAAAAAATGGGCCCAAGTTTAATTTTTTTTCAAATAATACAACTAAATTCATGAAATTTTTCATTTTTTGCCAATTTTATTATTAATTCCTAGATATATGGTCCCATTTATATAGAAGATAAATAAATTTATTTATATTATTTACTGGCTTTTTTTATTTTGAATTTTATTTAAGGTCCATGTCAAGATAGTATATTACCCTCCCCCCTCCCACAGCACTTTTACTATGGGAGGAATCTATGATGCAAAATCGTCATTGAAATTGGAGGGTAGAAAAATATTTATGATTCCCATGTAAATGTTCTGACATGCAAAAAAATGTTAAGAAAATTTTTAAATGGGGAAACATATATATTACAATTAAGAGTGTGCCGATACCATTTGGGGGCAAATATTACCTATATTAAATTGATATCGACCAATCCGTATCCTATCTGATTTTGTATTCTAAGCATACTAATAGTTTTAACATACTTTTTATTAGAAACATCTATATTTTAACTATACCATAACATAAGTCATTTAAATTTATTTTAATAATCAGTTATAGTTTATATTTATGAGTCTAAAAGTATTAAAAATCTTTTTATTGATATATCATTTATATTTAAAATAACATTAATATATTTACATAATAAGTAATAAACAAATATATTATGAAATTTGAAATATTTTTTTTCCTGAAATGGGTATCTATAATATTTATGAATATGCGGTTCAGGTTTCTGTTACAAATTATTAAAGCAAGCAAAAAACATTTAAACACACCACCCCTCTATAATTAAACAGCTTGGTAAATTGCTGTCCAATAGTGGACGCCTATTTACTTAATTATATCATACAACATTTTAAACATGTATATAATGGAGAGACCTGATATTTTTTAAATATTCCTGGGCCGGGCCTAATATTTTTTAAGATACCTGGACCGAGCCGTATATTTTAAAACCAAATATTTTAAATCGCCATTATTATCTATAAAAATTAAAAATAATTATAATATATTTTAAAAAAATCCGGATCGGACCATGCAAATGGTACATCTGCAGGTCTCTGATATAATGTAAATTACTTGAACTGGTTCCAGAACCGGTTCCTGAAAACTTAAAAATGGGTTCCTGTTCAAGTATACATTTCAAAAGAGAGTTCTCATTCAGGTTCCTAGATTTGTTCCAGATTTAAGAGTTCCAAACTCGGTTCGTTGAATTTAATTGTCCAAACTTTAATGTTTTTCACATGGTAAATACAGTATTTTGACGTGTCTCCTGTTCTGTTTCTCCACGGTCTCCTTATATAGATCTTTAAAAAATAATGAGCATATATGAGCCCCATTCCTCCTTAAGTTTAGTTACATTTAAAAAAATCCTATGCAAAAATTAATCATGTTTTAAGGTTTTATACAATGATTACCAGTTCTATGAACGGTATTTATCTCTTAAAAAAAAATTGACAATTAATGTTATTTTTTTTAGTTATTGTATTAATACTCGATACGAGTAGAGCGCTTTTATTTGAATAATCAAATTGATTTCTTTCTTGAACACAAAAATTAAACATTTTTATTCTTAAAATCGCCTAGCTCTGTTATTCATTGATCTAAATAAATTTTTTTCGCATTCGTTCTAGAAGGGTATTCAAAATATAATGTAACAATAATGATGCTTGATTATAAAATTATATGTTATACACCAATGGCTCTATTGACCATTCCGCTCTCCTAACATTTTATACTTTACTTATAAAGAACTATCAACTCCCGATATCAAATCAAATTCTCCAAATTCCCCCACCTCTTGCCATTGTCATCCACCGGACTCGGATGCCGTATGCAACATATGCTTAGATGGGGAGTGCTCTAACGTCAACGCTATCCTATTCTGTGATTCCTGCGACGTGCCAGTGCACCAAGAATGCTACGGAGTTCCCTACGTGCCTGAAGGCCAATGGCTGTGCCGAGTCTGCCTCAGACTTCCCAACCATACTACTAGTTTTGCCTCTCGACTCAAGTGCGTTTTGTGTCCCGACGGGACTAGACCTGCCGCCTTTAAAAACGTTTCTACCGCTAAAACGACTATCAGAAGGGATATTGGTTAGTTCTTATTTATCTTTCAAAAAATATTCACATCTTGTTTTTTTAATGAATTAAATATAGTGGCAGATAAAAATATCGCCTAGATCAATGTTATATAGAGTAAATCTTGAAGTTAATAATTTTTTTTAAAAATAATGAGTTGAATAAAAGAAAAATTGAAACAATCAAAGAAGGGTTTAATAGTCTCTTTTATTATGCCTAAATAAAAGTGTGAATTCTTCAATTATAATTATGCAAAAATAAAGTTCCCAATATTTATAAGATTTTTAGCGAAGGTTCCAATGAGCCTGAACTGAAGCGTGAAACCATATTAATAACAGAATCTAAGTTTGAGCCGTTTTTAGAGATTCTAAACGGACTGATATTTTTTATCCTGAACCCATACCGTATTTGTTATGGTTCGGATTCATGTTTTATCATCCATTTCTTTTTTTTTGTTTAAACGCGAACATTATGGATATATGAACAGGGTTGGGCAAATTTTCCAAAAATTTTTATTCGAATAAATACATACGTTTTTTTTATAAAAAGAAGTATTTTAAATATAAATACTATTATTAAATACCTACAAAAAATTTTCAAAAAAAAGTATAAAGACAAATACGTTGTCGAATACACTGCAAGTCGATTTTTTTAATACTATATTCATTTTTTTTAAACGTAAATAAAATTTTTATTTTTAACCATTTTCGAAAATGATCAAATACTAGTAATGCAAACATTATAAAATATTACATTTATTGTTACAACAGTAGCATATCATATAAATTTGTAATAATTGCAAATATGATTAATAACACTTTTACAGAGTATATAATAAATTTTATTTTATTAAATTAAATATTAAATTAAATACAATATATTATATTAATCAATCAGTTAGAATATCATATAATAGAACATTTAAGATGTTAGTAATTTATGTAATACTAAATATAAAAATAAAATCATAAATTCAATATTAATTAATGAATAAAATTTAGATATAAATTGTAAGTAATTAGGGGGTATCAGTCATTGAGAATATGAAGCTGAGGTAATTGGATTTTATTATATTGAGGGCTAATCTTTGGCGTAGGTAGTAACCCTCGTTGGGATCTTCGGTCCTAGTAGAGATCCGTTTCCCCAGCTCTTTAAAGAAGGCAAGGGCGTGAGAGCCGAACGATGTGAGAGTCGTGGCGATTAGTGGTAGGAATGTGTAATTGGCCGGAAGCGATGGCGAATATTTAGCGAGTTTATTCGTCTCGGCGTCTACTAGAGCATCTCTATTTATATTGGAAGGGGCAAGGGGATCGATGCATGAGAAATCCCAGGTTAGAAATTCCCCCCTCTTCCAAGGGATCATGGTAGAGCCATCGGGACGCTTACCATCAGAATTGTAGAGTCCAGTGGGTTCTAGGGTTGATGGGATACCGGCAGATTTTAGGGCCCTGGCAATAGTATCATTGCATTTTGAATGTCTAATGAATCTGCCTCTACAGCGCTTGCAGTGTAAAGAGTGACGGCCTTTGGAGTTGACCGGCGTTTGACAAAGGATGCAGTGATAGGGTATTAACATATCACAATTAAGTCTTAGACCGATGGCGTGACGTAGCTCATCATTGCTTAGGAGCTGGTCAAGGTTTCGCGATGGAAAAGCTTCGAGAAATTCATATCCGCTGTCTGCGGAAATGGAGAAGAGTAGAGAATGGTCCTCGGGTTGGCTCCTCGATTTAAGGTATGCAACGGAGTTGCCAACTAGAGGCTTATCCCACTTCTGCAGTGTCGATGAGGGAGAATCGACTAATGAAAGAGATTTCCATAGATCAATTGCCTGGGGAAGTAAAGGGTCAGGATGTTTTGTGAGTGCGTGTATGATGGGCTCGCAGGACAGGCGAGAGGATATGAACGCACTAACAGAGAGTAGGGAAGGCGATCGTATGCCAATACCGCCGGATTTGGTTGGCAAGGTAGCTTGTAGCCAAGATAGGTCTCCGAATTTGAGATTGAGTATATCCTCTGTAAGGTGTTTAATCTCTAGCTCGTGTGCAGCGAGGTTGACGTCGTATTGGAAGATACGTGACGATCGGAGTGTATATAGAATTTTTGGGATTAGGAGGTAGTTCTTTAATAGAAAGAACGCTTGGTGGGCTGGGAGGCGAGATAGTGTACCGCGCATAAGGGATATCTCTAGTAGAGTGTCGGCGAAGAACTTGACAAAGGACTCGTCTTTACCCACTGGAGATCCGAGATGTGTTAAGAAGTTCAATGGTGTATGATTGAACATAGGATCATAGTTAAGGTCGATGATTCCAAGAGGACAATATTCTCTCTTGTCTTGATTGATTCGCAGTCCCAAACTGCTCTCGCTGGATTTTATTATTTCGACCGCCTTCATAACTTCGCTGGGTGAGCCGCCTAGTATACCATCGTCGATATACCAGTTATGAAGGTTTAGTTTACATTGGTCATTTATGCTTTGTATTAGGCTATTAATGCCCAGACTGAATAAGAAGGAGCCTAGAGGGTCACCTTGTTGTATTCCTCTACTAGAAGGAATCAATCTAATTTATGATTTTGTTTTATTTTTGGTTTGGCAGATATTACCTTAGCTTTCACTATTTTATTGATTTTTATGATATTTTGAAATAATTTCCATTTAAAATTGTCAAATAATATAGAAACTCCTTTTCAATTACTATATCTTCCTCATCTTCAAAAAACACCTATATCTTCACTTTCGTTAATAAACTTTAAAAGTAAAATAGTGTTTAAACTGGAATATGTTAATTTTTTCCATAACTCGGGTCACAAAGTTTATATTAATAAATAAATATGGATTTACTTTATAATTAAATTAAAATCGCATTAAATACAAAATACTTTTTATTTATTAGTATACAAATTCTAAATGCTTTCTAGAATATTCAAATAAATTTGTATTAAGTTTTTATAAATACAAGTATTCCCGTTACTGCCCATCAATGTATATATCAGGTCATATCCAAGTTTTTCAAAATATTGCTCTTATCTTTGATTATTCAAAAATAATTAATTTCAATTTTTATATATCAATTTTTAAATTAAAATCATATCCGAATTAAGTAATCTATGTGATGCAAAAGATCTTAAATGAATATTATTTGATTTAATGATCTAAATATGGGAATTATATTTAAAAAAAAGTAATTCGACATTTTACCGAATTTTCTCCTTTATATAAACGAAAAATAATTAAACCATAATTTTTTTGTTGAAATAAGCGCATCACATTGGCTATTTCTTATAACAAGCCAACATTTTGATTTTATTGATTATTTAATTTACGTTTATTTTTTTTATTATTTTTTACTTATTATTATTGCACATATTTCCCTGTTTTTAAAATTGGTGATTTTTTTTTATATAAAACCAAGGTTTTTTATCTTTTAACAAATCAGTATATTTTTATTGTAATTCTAATTAAATTTTGTATTCCTAATATTTGGGGTTGGATCATACCTATTCCTATCTATCTTTTTTCTTTTTGTTACAATAAGCATCAATTATAATCAAAACATTTTTGGTTATTCTATTTTAAAATGAGCTTAATTGTGGGTTAATTATATTTGTATAAAATATCAGCTTTAACCAAATAAGCCCTATTTGTTTAGGTTTTGGTTTCTTTTTATAAAAAAAAGTTCTAAGATTTCTTTTATTTTCATTATTTTAAAATCGATTTTTTTGTCATATTTTATTTTAATATATGAAATTTACGAATATTTTTAACGTCAGAAAATTAAAAAAAATTTTTTTTGTATTTTATTCAATTAAAAAACGTGATAAAAGATTTAAAGCTGGGCACACACTCATCACAGTGTCTGTAAATAAAATAAATTATGTAACTACTATGGATCGAATTTTACATTTTAAAGTATCATTTTCAAATTTATCTATTATCATAAACTTGAAACATCAAATCAAATCTGTAAAGTCACTAACTTTTACCTTGTATAGTTTTATCCCTTTGACGCCAACTTTTAAATAATTAAAAAAGAAAAATTTATAGATGCCCAAAAATTTTTTCATTGTTTTTAATTATAAAGGTAAAAAAATGATGTTTCAATATGAGATCATCAGACATAGTGAATATAAAATACAAATATCTATTATGAAAATCTCGAAAACACTTTTTATATTGGTTATAACAAATATATATTACATTTTGTTAATTTTGTTCAGGAATATGTATTTATGCATAATTTTCACCTTTGCCTCGTTTCGCAGGCATTCGGTCAATGACCTATGTGGTCATATCTGATATAAGATATAGGCGCCATTATAGAAGAACTTTTTTTAAAATTATCTGTTCATTCAAAGGCCTCCCTGCTTTTCTTTTACTAATTTTCCCTGCTGATAACAATGCGTTAACAATATGTTTCTTAAATTGGATAAGTTTCCTAAATTTGTTCTCTTTTTTATGGTATATTTGCCGTCTATACAAAAGTCATGAATTAGCTATCTAAATATCATTTTACTATTATAAATTTGAAATCATTGACTTTAAGACAAGTTTGAAATGATATATTACAAGATAAAATTTCTATAGAGACCTTTCTTTAAGCACGATTGTTAAGCGCGAAGCGCGCCTAAATAATGAGAGCTAACGCCCACTGTTTTCTTCATAAACATTATTAACGATTATTTATAAAGCTTAAAATTACTGATAATTTTTTTAAAATATATACATAATATATATATTTTAAATGTTTATAAAATGGAATAATTTAAGATTATGATGAATTAGCTGTCGATAATTTATGGGCTCACGTGGTTTGCGCTTTATGGATCCCCGAAGTTTCCTTTGGTACAATACCTTATTTAACCAGAAATAATTTAATTTACATTTTTTTTGATCGCCTAATGTTATTTTTAGAGACATATTGGCATTTGATGGAAAGAAAGAAAAGAGAATGAATTTATTATTTTATATTAGCCTTGTTTAGATGGTCAGCCATTAGTTTTTAATTTTAAAAAATTTGCCGCTTCTTATAGTTATTTTTAATTTTCTTAATAATTATAGAAAAAATTATTTATATAAAAAGGCAATACTGTTTTCCTTGAGCCTGTAGATAACGTGGATAAGATACCAGCCGCTAGATGGCGTCTTACATGCTACATCTGTAAGCAGCGGGGCGTAGGTGCTTGCATTCAATGCCAAAAGACAAATTGTTACACAGCTTTTCATGTGACCTGCGCTCAGCAAGCCGGTCTTTATATGGCCTTAGAAACCTCTAACTTTAATAATGGCATGAATATAGAAGATGGAAATGAGACGTTTTTCAAGGTAAATTCAACTGACTTTCCAATTTGGCATAAAAAATTAGACAAAATTCTCATCAAAACTAAGGGTTAATTGTTAGAAATAGTTTAAGACCAAAAAAATTATTTTTACAAAATTAGAATTAACATTAGAGGACATGGTTTTATCCAGGCCAGGAAAAAAAATCTTGGCACCGGGCTGGACAAAATGTTAAAAGTATTTTTAATGCCAGGCCGGACTAAAGTTTTGAAAATGTTTTTACAGTTGATAATTATCCAAATTTAGGTCGTTTTTATTCGTAAAAATTATTATGGGCCAGGTTGGAGGACAACTATGCAAAATATATTTTATGGGCTGGGTAGAAATAATTATGGGCTTAAAAAACATGGTCTAAAATTTTTATGGGTTGGTTTAGGCAGAGTCATGCCAACCTCAAGTTAATAGACAAAAAGCCTATTTTGAAGTTAACAAGTGAAAAAGCATTTTATTGTTGAATATTTTTCAAAAGCGAACAAATAATAGTAAAATTACAATGACTGCGTAATGCGATATAATGAATTTCATCGCTATAGATTATAAATTTTACCTATAATTTGTTCTTTTGAAAAATATCCACAAGTGATGTTCCCTTACTATGAACAAGGCCTTAAAATTTAATTACAATATATAAATAGTTTTTTTTATTTGATTGTTTTGGGTTATAATTCTGCTTCACTCATTTTGAGAACGTATTTTTCCTTTGTTTCTTTTATAGTTCAGAATAATACATAGTCACAAAATGGCAATCCAAGTAAAATTTTAATCATTGGTTTGTATTTTTTATTAAAAAAAACTTTAATTTACTCATCTAAATGGAATATTTTATTATATCAAATTCAGAAATAAAGAATTTATAATTATTATTAAATAGTCAAGCCCGGTTTACCATCCTCCAACACATTCTTTGACCAATACTCCTACAATCCATCCTAATGGTCCGTTATCCCCTTTGGCGGTTAAGAAGATAGCTTATTGTGACATTCATACCCCATCCAACTTGACGTCGGAGGAGTGGAGCAAGTCTTGGTCCATCAAAAAAAGTCCCCATTTCACACTCGAACCCAACGACCCTTATTACAAGTACCTTAATAGCAATAAAAAGGCAAATCCGCATAACACCCATTCGTCTGTGAATTTAGTCGAAAGGGCTAGAAAACTAATGGCTGCAAGGAGGTCCAAAATTCCAGTGCCACCCACAATAGTCATGCCTGCGTTGAGCGAAGAGAGGTTTATATTTTATTTATTATGATAAAAATTCTGTAAAGAGAGGAATATATTTTATTTTTTAAATTTTATAAAAGATATCAGCTTTAAATTTAAAAAATGTCACAGTTTTTGAATAATTTTTACTTTTTGAGATTTAATAACTATAGCTATGTAGATGTGCACCCAAGGTACAATTAATGGTCAGGGCTTAGTTCAGTATTTACCATCAGTCCTGTCCTTAGCCACGCCCTTAAAATCATGTCCAAATCGAACCTTGTCTTAATGAATGAGGGTTATTGGCATATCTGCAAAATCGATTTTGTTCAGTATCAATTTTTTTTAGATCTGGGGATGGCTTGGGCGCTCTTTTTTATAAGCGCAAGATATATATCAAGCTCAAAGTATTTTTTATTATTATCTAATGCAGTATTATGCATTAGATTTAAATATCAGCAAATACTTTGATAATTTTGTGATATTTATCTATTTAATCTCTTTATTACAAAATATCATATAAATGCCAACTGATTTTTTTAAAAAAAAGAATAGGACGGAAATATATCAAATTTTTTCAGGCCCGTTCCAGCTTCTATTTTGTTCCTGATGTTACAGGATTCTAGCAGAAACAGAATAAAAATATATAAATTCTAGCCTCATTTCGAAAGTTTTTTAGTTAGACAATTTAAATAACACCATGAAATTTTTAATTACACAAAAAACATTAAAAAAAAATTTTTTAATAGAAAGGGATAAGGGAACCTCTAAGGGTAAAGTTTTGGTCCTCACTCAATTTGATCAAAAATGAACTTAAAATAGAAGTATACTTAAATATTTTTTTATTTACACTATTATCCTAACTAAATTGCTTACCACAGCCTAAAAACTTTACTTAAATCGCATTGGCCTCCCACATCTTCCTTCCTATCCTCCTTTTCTGTTCTCAATTCCTCCAGCACCAATTCTACCCCTGACGCGTTAGCGAATGAACAATTAACCAAACAGGCCATTCTCAAGAGAGTTTTGAGTTATTGGAAGATCAAGAGACAGGCGAGGAATGGGTTTTCACTCATCAAAAGGTTCCAATTCAATCAGTCCTCTTCTAGCGCAACTGGCGTTAATTCCGCTCTAGTCATTAAAGAGGTTATATAAAAGATTAAAATATATTTTACCATTTATGAGTAAAGCTTTATATATCTTTTTTTTAAAATTATGTTAAGTGTAATGCGAATATATAAATAGTTAAAATTAGTAATAGAATAGCTTACAAATCAAAATATGTTATAACAATTTTTTTTATATTAATTTTATGATTGCGTTAAAAATCGAAGAATTTTATTTTATAGTTATTGAAAATACCAGAGTTGGGCAGTACCGCTAAGACTTGTATCTAAGATACAAGATCCTTTTGTATCTTGTACTCAGTATCTTTTTAACATTTTTAATAATATACTAGTATCTGTATCTAAGATACTTTATTCTGAAAAGATTCTTTTAAAACCTTATTTTTTTCGACAACCAAAATTACCTTGAATATTTACAATTCTCATTAAGATAGATAGATAAAAATTAACAACATCAAATCGAAATAAATAAATTATATATTTTATATATAAATTAAATGTAACTCGAAAGAATATAATTACCAATTTTATGTAATATTTTTTAATTTGTAAGATGATTAACTCTCATGGTAGTGAAAGGAAAATTATGGAAATAAGTTCCCTTGAATCAAATCCCAATCTTAAAATTTTAGATGTAAATTTTTTTAAATAATTTAAGTCAAAAAGGATAACATTAGGCTAAATACAAACCCGTACAAACAAAAAAATGATACAGGGTTCAACAAACTCCTATACAAATTTTGTTAACATATTAGTATATTATTTATATGATAATTTTATGTTACAATATAATTATATATTATTATGTTTTGAATTAGAGATGTCATATAGGCATTTATACCCAATATAAGTTGTATTTAAAAGAGCAAAGAAAATCAGCAAACTCTACCACCATAAAAAAAAATTCAACCCAGTATATCAGCTTCATTTAATGCTATTAATAAAATAAAATCAATAATTACACAAAATAAAATTGATATGGGGTAATGGGAAAATGTCCAAAACTATGGGACGCAAGTGGTAGGCCCAAATTTTCTTAAAAGATAAGGGAGATAACATGTGGCAATCAGCTAAAATTTCCATGCATAATTAGATGGAATATTTTATACGATAGTATGACTTCACTGTTAAAATATAAATCACATTTTAATTTATTATTTGAAGCAATTGATTGTCCGACAAACTACAAGGGCAGAGTAGTAGGGAATTACATACTATTTGTGGTTAATGGGACTTATGTAAACTTAAAAATTTAAGTTGCAAAGCCTATCTTCATTAAAATATTTTGGTATGGGCAAAAGATTTGAGAAATTTTTTTTCTTATGATAATGAATAATATGATAAGGCTTTTTTGGAATTATTATCACATCTATATTTTAAGAACTTATAAAGTCGAAAGATAAAAAAAAATTCTTTTATATTATTAAAAGAAGTCAGTGGCTTAGAAAAGGGGGGGGGGGTTTAACCTCCCCCCCCCCATAACCTCCGAAAAAAATTTTTTTTTTCTTATTGCAAATAATTTTATTTAAAAAATGGTTTCAATTTATAAATAAAATTATATACCATATGAAAATGAAATATATTTTAAAAAACAAGAATTTTTAATTTTAAATGATAACATGGTTTAAAAATATATATTAAAAATTATATGTAAAATATTAAATAACAATAAAAATATATTGTAAATTTTTTCTCGCATAGTTAAATTAGATATTTATAAATTTAATAATAAAATTTATATTGTTAAACTAATTAGATAGTTTTAAAAATTTTAATTAATTTTTTATAATTTTTAAATAAAAGAAAAATCATTTAATTTGGTAAATATAATGAGAAAGTAAAGGTGATCGCTAATATTTTGGGATTAAAAATTTTAAACCTAGAGTAGTTTCTGATAGTCCAATCGCCTAAATATTGATGCATCTACGATTGAGGATTTTTATAAAATAAATATTTTTACTTCCCTTATTGATACATTTTTATTTCAATTAAAGGAAAGATTTATTAGTCACAATTTTATTTTAAACAGCTTTTATTTTCTTTTGCCGGTTGAGTCTAAATACACTTGAAACGCGAGAGGATATTAAGAAAATCTCAGAGTTTTATTCTGATGAATTATCAGGATCGTATGATAAATTACTTTGTGATGTCGAATTTTGGTATAAAAATTTTGACAGAATAGAGTACTCTTTGAGACCAAAATATGCTTTGCAGGCCCTTAACATGTATAATTGCACTTTTCCCTTCCTAATATCAAAACATTGCTTTTTATTTTAGATACCTTACCGAATAGCACCTGCACTAATGAAAGGTCTTTTTCATCTTTGAAAAGGTTAAAAATCTATATAGCACCGGTGAAAGCCTTTTAAATGGATTCGCAATATTTTTATAAGGAGATTATTCTAGATAAAAATTTGATTCTAGATGAATTAGTCAAATCTCAGAGAATAATAGACCTCTCTTTATAAATTCAAATTATAAAATTGCTATGTTATTATAATATGATCTTAGTCACAAAATTTTTATATTTAAAACGTAATTATAATGAATTCTTAGTCATAATATTTATATATTATATTATTTTTAATAAAAATATTGCATTTGCACTAAGAATTAGTGATCTGCATCGGGCCTAATTTTTCAAGCCAGGCCCTGCTCGAAATTATTTTAAAAAAATTTTGCCAGCCCGAACCGAAATTTTTTTTAAAAAGTTTTGTCGGCCTGGCCCTAATTTATTTAAATATAGAAATTCATTTTTATAATTACTCAAAATAAAAGATATATGTTATATGGCGTCTAGTTTTTATAAATAAAATCAAATATTTTTATTTTACATAAAAAATATAACATAAAATGGATATATTTAGATAAAAATTTCCAAGGCCCGACCCAACCCGACCCGAATTTTTTTAAAAAATATTAGGCCCGACCTAGTCCGATCCCTATTTTCCTACTTTTGTGGATCTCTAATAAGAATTATTTGTTTTATTAATATACTCATTTGTATTAATTATATTATAATTGTTAAATTATTTTTTCAAATACCGCACAAGAATTACTCATATTTTATTGTAATTCTATTTTTTTAAAATATAGTTATTTAGAATAAATTTTTAATATAATCTGTATAAAATTTATACATTTTGAAATTTATTTTATTGTATAAAATAATAAATAAAATCTATAATGAAATTCTCTGCAAAATTTTGTTATATGCAAAAATTTGATTAAAATAATTATATTTAACATTATATAAGAAATATTAAGTGATCATAAAAAATGGGAGGTTTGAGGGGTGATTTTATTCTTCTTTCTACACCGAATGGATTGAATTAATTTACAATTGACTAAACATTGATAAAATTTTCAGAATAATGCTTTCGGCCCCGTATTAATCATAAAGTTGGCAAAAATTTTGTTACTAATATTTTTTTCATTTATGCTGGCTACTATAGTGGTTAGACACCAATAAAGCACAAAATTGGCAAATTTTTAAAATGCGGTTTGAAGGCGAAGCCACCCCCCCCCCCTACCGCCCCCCAAAAAATTAAATTCCCCCCACCCCCCTTCCCCATGGATCAATCCTGAATACTCCACTGAAAGAAGTCCTAAATGTAGTACCAGTAGTATATATCTAGCTCAAACTATACCACTTAGGATTTAATATCTTATACAGAAAATGATCACTTTTGGTGAAACAAATGTTGCTGAGCTCAATACAAATAACATTGAGCTGGAGGCTTTAAATTATTTTGACCGTCGAAATATATTAAAAATGCTAAATTATTATCCTTCCATTAAGGGAATTTTTTAAAACAATAAAATTGCAATATCTTAATCAGCTTCAGTTGAAAGATTATTTAGTTTTGGCGCAAGGACGCCGAAATGGCAAAGGCTTAATGATAATTATTTAAAAAATTGATTATCCTAAAAATAATGATTTAAATCTATCAAATCAATATTTTGACTCTTAAAAATACTAGTCTCTTTTCGCTGATTATGCTATGAATGGGCTAAAGCTAATAAAAAATTGCCTGATTATTATAATTAACTCGTCATTAAATATTCTATTAATTATTGTAAATATTCATTCTTATTATATGCTTATGTTATGTTCTTCATCAATGTATTTTATATACTATTCTAAATTGGTAATGATAATTTTATAAAAGTATCTCGTATTTAAGATACTCTCATTTGGCAAAAAATACAAGTATTTTTTATCTTGTATCTTTTTGATATTTTGAATAAGATACTAGTATCTGTTAAGATCTATTTTTTTATAAGGAATCTATCTAGATTCTTTTTTCGGAGGACCTCCCCAACTCTGGAAAATACAAATACATTTTTGTTACTATCTTTTTAAAATAATTTAGAGACTATACTATTTGTTGTATGTATTTTATATTTATTATCATTTATAATGAATTCAATTTAATTTTTTTATTTTGTAAAACTATAATTTATTTCTTTAAATATTAACTTTGTTATCAGAGTGAGGTCTTATCTGTTTCACCTTATTTTTATTAAAATGAGCAACGTTCATAATGAAAATTAAATTGAAGAAATAAAATAAATTATTTAAAGAAAATGATATAAAACTCGAAAATATAGATTCAAGTTCTATCGAGTTGATATTATGATAAATATTTTTAGCAGAGTATCTGGAAAAGTTCTCACGTCTCCTAAATGCCAATTGACTATATTAGATGGAAGGTTCTTCAAAATATTTATCAAAATGGATTATGTAGAAAAAGCACCATGAAATCTGTCAAATTGTTTTATATGTTTGCTCTATTATATAAAGATTATATTTCTGATATAATTTTAAAATAAGCCTGCAATTTTTTTTTATATGATATTATTTGCTGCATAATTTTCTTAAAAATAAATGGTTAATAAAATATCATAAGTAAAAACAAATTTTTGTTTATTTCTAAAAAGTATTCCTCAAAGTTATTTTTATTTAAAATACTTTTTTGAATATTTTTTTTTTGATATTTAACAGAGTTGTGATAAGATAATTTTCAAATGGATCTAGAGACAAATGCATCGTCTAAAAATGTATCTGCATCTAGAAACATTATTACAAATTCTTCAGGCAGATATAATTGTAGAAATGCATCTTCATATAGATATAATTATTTATAGATGTATAGATGTATATAGGTATTAATATAATTTTAAGAGATATATATATATATGTATTATAATTATATAAGGTGTGCATAATGCCTAATTTAGGATTCTAATCTTAAAATTGAAATTTAGAAGCGGGCTAAAGATTTTTTTATTGAATTGATATACAAAATATATAATCAAATGATAAATAATAATTTTTAGTTTTAATAATACATATACAAAATATATAATTAAATTTATAAATAATAATTGTTACATTTTAACAATACATATACAAAATATATAATTATAAGATTAAATAAATGTTGGATTCCTAATATAAAACTTCTCAAAATTTTGTCGTTCATCCATTGCGTAAAATAAAATATATCTGCTTTGTTTATGTAATGAAATAAACCAGGACATAATATTTAATGAAATTCATATCATTTTTAATATAACAAAATGTAAAATAAAATAAAATAAATTCATCTAAAAATAGATACATAAAATTTGTATCTAGATACAGATACCACATTTTTGTTTCTAGATATTTTAACTTTGGTATTTATATTTGAAATACATCTAATAGAAACCTATTTGTATTAATATTCAAATACTTTTTTATGAAGTTTAATTGTATTTATATTCAACCAATTTTTTTTGATTGTGCCTAACCCTGTATACAACATGATTATGGAAAAGCAACATCCACTTAAATAAGTCATTTTTATTAAAAAATATAACATATAACCAGTTAAAACGATATCATATCATCTTTTTTAACTTTATATGGACTATCTTATTAGATAAAAACATATTTAATTAATTTCTTAATTTTTTTTAGTGAAGTTGAGGGAACCCCGTGGAAATATAATTGAGTTGCATTTTTAAAGTATTAATAATGATACTGAAACTTTTTAAATCGAATAATATTCCAATTATCTTTTACCTTTTAAAAGTTGGTGGATTGGCAGAAAAAAGAGGACTCGAGGATCGAGAAATACTCCAAAAAGACTTATTTCTCGGAATTATATTCCAACATGACCAACATATCTCCTGTTCAGAACAAATCGCCACCGCCCTTTAAGAGTTCTATTTTATCGGTCACAAAATTTCGTTCTTCCTCCAAAGATTTTCCTCACAGGAAATCGAATGCAAAATTTTTTAATCTCGACGATGTTTCTTCCAGTTATCACCACCTGTTTAGACCTTGGTTAAAATTGAGACAGGATCTAGAAAAATCGCGCCTGCTTACCGAACTTATAAGGAAGCGGGAAAAGTTGAAAAAGGAAAAAGTAAAAATTATTGTTTTTTAAATTATATTATTAAAGGAAAATTAATAGAAAAAAGGAGAAAGCGAGAAAGAAAGAGAGGAAAAAAATTAAATTTTACAACATAATTGAGAACTTCACGTTTAAAATGATTAAAATACGTTAGTATTTATAATTATAAATTGTAAATTATACAATAAAGATAGCTTTATCCCAAAATATAACCGATCACAAGCTAAGACCACTTATATTGTTTCTACGGCCTATTTTATATTACTTAGAAAGTTTGGATACTCATCAAATATTCCATAAACCCGTAGATATTAAACAAGTATAAATATTATTTTTTTTTAATGAAAGTATATTTTTAGTGTTGCTTAATTAGCTGATTTTAACCGACTACAAAAAGGCGTAGCCGAGATTTTAGGTGAAAAAATCGGCTAAACTTAATTAGGCATAACCTAAATTATGCATCGGCTAATCGTCCGTCAGCGTTCCGTAAGATATGCCTAGCATTAATTATTATTTATTTATTTTTAGTAAAATAATTTATTTTATTTATATTTAATGTTAAATTTTATTATTATCAACAAATAACATATTTATATGATTTAATATTTTTTATTTAAATTATTATATTATAAAATGAAATGAAAATAGATTTATTTATTTGATGTTTTTTTAATAAAAAAAATGATATGCTGCTATTGTAAAATTATTTTTGCATTACTATTTATTAGTGATTTTCACGCCCAAAATTTTAAGCAAAAAATATTTTAATAAATCTTTTTTGAGGAATTCTTTTGTGAATTTAAAAACAAACAATCTTTTAGGTGAAATCTTTTATGATTTTTTAAAATCATTTTTGTATAATTATCTATTTTTTAAGTATATTAAAAGAGGTGGTTTTTTCCAGTTAATTTTTTTAAATATTTATATTAAACTTTTTGTGTTATTTTATATGATCTTTTAATGATAATATTTTAATGATAATATTTTAATGATAATATTTTAATGATAATATTTTAATGATAATATTTTAATGATAATATTTTAATGATAATATTTTAATGATAATATTTTAATGATAACATTTTAATGATAATATTTTAATGATAATATTTTAATGATAATATTTTAATGATAATATTTTAATGATAATATTTTAATGATAATATTTTAATGATAATATTTTAATGATAATATTTTAATGATAATATTTTAATGATAATATTTTAATGATAATATTTAATGATAATATTTTAATGATAATATTTTAATGATAATATTTTAATGATAATATTTTAATGATAATATTTTAATGATAATATTTTAATGATAATATTTTAATGATAATATTTTAATGATAATATTTTAATGATAATATTTTAATGATAATATTTTAATGATAATATTTTAATGATAATATTTTAATGATAATATTTTAATGATAATATTTTAATGATAATATTTTAATGATAACATTTTAATGATAATATTTTAATGATAATATTTTAATGATAATATTTTAATGATAATATTTTAATGCGACAATTGTCATATTCGTTATTTTTTAAGATTTTTGAAATTTTTTGACACAAAAGGGTAAAAATATAATTTATTTTGTAAGATATTAAATTATAAATTCAATAAAGATGTTCCTTGGAAAAATGACAATTATCATAATCGGTATTTTTAAATTGTTAGATTTTTTTGATGCTAATGGACAAAAATATATTTATAACATGTTAAATTAAAATTTCAATTGTACCATATAAAAGTGACAATTGTCATAATCATTATTTTAAAGTTTTTTGAATTTTTTTGACGCAAATGGGTAAAAATATAGATTGTAAAAATGTCAAATTAAAATTTCATGAAGATGTAGCATGGAAAAGTGACAATTTTCATAATCTTTATTTTTTAAACATTTTCCAATATTTTTTTGAGAAATCATTCTGAAAAAGATATTGTATTTAAATTTTATTGAAATAATTCAGAAAAGTGCCAATTAACACAATTTTCGTTCTTTAACTTTCTTATTTTTTTTTGAGAAATTTGTTGGTACCATTTGGAGAAGCAAAAAAAACAAATTTCAATTTCATGTTTAAAATCATCCCTTTTATCCTGCTTTAAATTTGATAAAAATATGCAAAGTGATTACTAAAGAAAGTTGTAACTCATGTTTTTAAACTTTTAAGATATGGATTCACAATCTTATCTTTTAATTAATAAAATTTAATTCTACATCTCTTAAAATTTAAAACCCTGCATTCACAGTTAGCCAAAACTTTGTATACTCACGACGAAATCGTGCTGAGTCTTAATTCAGGGTAAGATTTTTATGAAAAGAATTTAAAAACCATATGATTATTATTTATCAATATGATACAATCAACATCCTATAAATTTTATCCTAAGATTTTGAATTTTATAAACATATGGTAAAAATAGATTTCAATCTATATTATATAACTCATTTGCGTCAAAAAAACTTTAAAAATAACGATTGTGACAATTGTCACTTTTCCATGCTATATCGAAATTTTAATTTAACATGTTTACAATCTATTTTTAGCCATTTGTTTCAAAAAAAATTGAAAAAACTTAATTAATTGTCACTTATCGATGGTACATCTTCACTAAATTTTTAATACAACATGTTAACAATCTATATTTTTGCCCATTTGCGTCAAAAAAAATCATAAAACTCTAAAAAAAACGATTATGATAATTTTTACTTTTCTATGGTACAATCTTCATTGAATTTATAATTTAACATCTTTACAATATAAATTATATTTTTACCCTTTTGTGTCAAAAAATTTCAAAAATCTTAAAAAATAACGAATATGACAATTGCCGCATTAAAATATTATCATTAAAAGATCATATAAAATAGCATAAAAAAGTTTAATATAAATATTATAAAATTTGGAAAAAATTACCTCTTTTAATATACTTTAAAAAAAAATAATTTTACAAAAATGATAAAGAAAAAAATTATAAAAGATTTCATCTAAAAGATTGTTTGTTTATAATAAAATTCACAAAAGAATTCCTTAAAAAAGATTTATTTACAAAAAGATTTAAAATTCTTATCAAATCAAAATATGTTCTCAAAAATTTTGAACTCTAAAAATATTTTTTGCCTAAAATTTTGGGCGTGAAAATCACGAATAAATAGTAATGCAAAAATAATATTAAAATAGCAGCATATCATTTTTTTAACTAAAAAAACATCAAATAAATAAATCTATTTTCATAATATTTTCATTTTATAATATAATAATTTAAACAAAAAATATCAAATCATATAAAGGTTGATAATAATAAAATTTAACATTAAATATAAATAAAATAAATTATTTTACTAAAAATAAATAAATAATAATTAATGCTAGACATATCTTACGGAACGCTGACGGACGATTAGCCGATGCAGAATTTCCGACTAATTTAATTTTAGCCGATTTTTAGGCTAAGTCGAATTAGGTTAAGTCTAATTAGGCTTAGCGTAGTTTTTAGCCGATTACGCAACACTATATTTTAATATAAATATAATTTTTGGACTTCATGGTATCATTCATGAAAAATAATTATGGAAATGGCGAATTTACCAAAAAAATCCTATAGAATTTATAGTAAAAACAATCACATGACCATGACTATAAGAAGACTGTTTCCTTAATTAATAGAACATTTTGATTTTATAGGATGCAACATCAAGTGTGCATACATTGAAGTCAATGTCAATGGCTGTAGTAGACGCCAATGAAAGATTTTCCATCTCAATGCCTTTCACATTTCATCCAAATATTTAACATTTAGCCTAAATCACATGCCTTTCAATATATACACCTTTTAAAAAATGAATTATCAATCAAATTTACTATCAATGTCATTGGGGCACACCTTTGGAAGTTTTGCCCTAAATTCACTTTCTTTCCATTTATTGAAATACTTTGATTAATTTATTATATATATATATAAGGTTTCAGATTATTTAACCCTCATATCGGAACCCATGGATTTTTCTACCATGAGATACAAACTACTAAATAATCTCTACCAGAGTTTCGAACAATTCGATCGCGATTTCAACCTCATGATCGATAATTGCAAAACGTATAACCCTAAGGATTCTATCTTCTACAAATCGGCGCTTAAGCTGAAGAATCAGGTTATACTTTTTCCTTCAATTTTGACTGGTCTTTATAAAAAGCCTTTTTTAAAAAAACCTATTAATTTTTTTTTCAGGGATACGATACAAACCTCAACCTTGTGAACTCTCATGTTTTTCGAACCCTTTTTAAAGGCTGAGGGTTTAAGTTATCAAAAAAATAAAGTTTTTAAAATAATAAATATAATAAAATAACCATGAAGAAAGTTTTGTTTACTTGGAATCATTTTTATGGCATTTTACATAATTATCTATTTTTTTTATCTCCATATTATAAGTAAAATCTTATTGTAAATGTTAATGTAATAAGAATCAGAGATCGGAGTTTGCCCGACTCTAAACTAGCCTATTTAAAAAAATCAGTTCGAGCTGGGGAAGGCCTAATATTTTTTTAAAAAAATTCAGACCGGGTCGGGCTTAAATTTTGAAATAAAATTGATATATTTTTTAATTTTTGCAAGAAACAAGGCGCCAATATTTTTTATGTAAAATAATCATAAACTCGATTATGTTTAGTGTAAAAATGTAAATTATATTGATAAATTTTGTTAGGCATTTTGTGAAATAAAAGTTTTTTTATTCAGGATCGGGCCAGGCTGGTCAAAATTTTGGAGGCTTAAATAATTAAGCACGATGTGGATCATTAGTTTACATCTCTGAACTTTTTTGAACTAACAATATTTGTTCAATCACTAATGAAGAGTTACATTCAGAGTTTTGAACCAAAACCCTTTTCCTAAAAATTTTTGAAACAGAACATTTTATAATGAATTACTAATTTATATAATTGTTTAAAATTATGTACAATTAATTTTGAAGGGTTTATTGTTTAAATTTGTTAGTATTTTTTTATTGCTTATTAGAGTTGAATAACCGAGGCAAATCTAAGAGCCAAAACCACCTTTAAAAATATTTAGACCCGATTTTTTTATTTAAAAATTTCTTGTATGTCATATACTTTTTTTAATGATAAGGAAAATTGAAAATTGGTAAGTTTTATGGCAAATGCGATGGCTTGAATATCATTCAAATAAATTTATTTAAAAAAATTCACATCTTATAAAAAGTCGGCTCATGTAATGACTGAAGCGCAAAAAATAGCTCCTGTTGATCTTATTACAACTACTAGTTTATCACCTTGTGCAATGGGCGGTGAGACTCAAGTCATGCAACCTATCATTGATCTCATTAAACCTACCTTTTACAAACATTCTAAACAACATAGAAAAAGTAGTGACGTGAAACCATTGCCAAATTATAAAGGTAAAAATGTAAATTTTAATTATTTTGTTTCATATTTTAAAAATAAAATAAATTTGCAGAATAATAATAAAATAACGACCAATCTTATTCTGATAGACATGGTATATTGTACCCAATCGCGCAATCATATCACTGATGATTTAATTATCAGAAAAATACTTGATTTTCTATTAAACATTCTTAAAATCTATTGTCTATTTATAATTCAAAATTTTATTAAAATGATTTTAAAAATGACAAATTGCATATTTTTTATACAACAAATTTAATGAAACTTGGCTCTTCTAGCTTTATTACTCACCAAAAAAGGTGGATGAATCAGATTCTTTTCAGTTTTGGCCTAAGTCTATATAAAAAAATCATCAATGCATACAACGAAATCATATTCTTTCCTTTGAGGCCATCCTGCTCTGGAAGATTCGAATTAAAGCTGATTTTTCACTCCCCTTCAAAGCAGAAGGACTGGGATATTGTGGTTATAAATGGCTTTGAACCTGATTTTATCTAGCTTGTAATTAAAAAGTTTCTTGCAAGTCTATTTCTTCCTCTAATATGCCGTTAGAGCCTACCATATGAGCTCACTCCTGCTAACGGGCAATAACCCACGTATATGTTCGGGCGTAGATTTCCTTTTTGTGGAAAATTAATACATGATTTCCTCGATTAAAATGTAAAAATACACACCTTGTATGATTCAATCATACAATGTGCAATCTATTCTAATACCCTCAAGTTATATCCTCCTAACCTTCACATTTAGTAGAAAATTTCTCCACGGTACTTTTCAGATTACTTGGAGATGAGGCCAATTTATAACCTGGTGGTAATTTTCACTAATTCAATGGCTCGATTAAAATTCAACCAATCCTTCAACTACAATCTCTAACTTATAGAACACTTTATAATAGCTAAACTCATCCGTATCAGGTCAATTCAGCGAAACTTTTATCGCGGTAAGATTTTATAGCGAAGGTAAAATCGCGAAACCAATTCTGCGGATTTATCTCCGCGAAACATTTGTAGCGAAGACAATTTCACGAAGCCATTGTCGCGAATTTATTTCAGCGAAACCTTAACCGCGAATTTATTAGAGCGAATACATTTTAGCGAAACATTTTACGCGAACTCTTAACAGCGAATTTTTTATCGCGAATATGTTTGCGCAAAGTTATATTGCGAATGCATTTATTTAAAGGAAAACAACATATTATTTATTATTTGATGTTTTTTAATAAAAAAATGATATGCTACTATCGTAATATTATTGCGAATGCATTTATTTAAAGGAAAACAACATATTATTTATTATTTGATGTTTTTTAATAAAAAAATGATATGCTACTATCGTAATATTATTTTTGTTACAATTTATTAGTGATTCTCATATCCAAGATTTTAAGTAAAAATATTTCTCGAAGAAAAAGATTTTTGAACATATTTTGATAAAAATTTTAAATCTTCTTTGTAAATGTATTTTTTTTAAGGAATTCTTTTGTGAAATTTATTATAAATATACAATTTTTAAGTGGAATCTTTTTATAGTTTTTTTATCATTTTTGTAAAATTATCTATTTCTTAATAATATTAAAAGAGGTGGGTTTTCTAAATAATTTTTTTTTAAATATTTATATTCAACTTATTTACGTTATTTTATATGATCTTTTTAAGGAAAATAATTTAATGTGAGAATTGTCATATTCGTTATTTTTAAGATTTTTGAAATTTTTTGACTCAAAAGGGTGAAAATATTATTTATATTGTAAAGATAATAAATTATAAATTCAATGAAGATGTTCCTTGGAAATATAACAATTATCATAATCGGTATTTTTAAACATATTAGATTTTTTTAAAGCTAATGGGCAAAAAAATATGTATTTTTAACATGTTAAATTATAATTTCAATTAGGATATACCATATAAAAGCGATAATTGTCATAATCATTATTTTTAAAGTTTTTTTACAATTTTTTGACGTAAAAATACAAAAATATAAATTGTTACATTTTAAAATAAAATTCAGTGAAAATGCACCATAGATATAAGTTACAATTGTCACAATCGTTGTTTATAAAGTTTTTTGAATTTTTTTGTTGCAAATGGGTAAAAATATAGATTGTAAACATGCTTAATTAAAATTCATGAAGATCTACCATTGAAAAGTGACAATTGTCATAACCGTTATTTTTAAAGTTTTTTGAATTTTTTTGACCAAGATGCGTTAAAATAAGTATTGCTAGTATGTTTAAATAAAACTTCAGTGAAGATCCCTAAAAAAGTGACAATTATCATAATCATTATTTTTAAACTTTTTTAAAAATTTTTAACGTAAATGGGTAAAAATATAGATTGTAAACATGTTAAATTGAAGATGTACCATAGAAAAGTGACAATTGTCATAATCGTTATTTTATAACTTTTTTGAAATTTTTTGACGTAAATAAGCTAAAATAAGTATTGCAAACATGATTAAATAATTTCAGTGAAGATGTACCATAGATAAGTTACAATTGTCATAATCGTTGCTTATTTTGAATTTTTTTGTTGCAAATGGGTAAAAATATAGATTGTAAACATGCTAAATTAAAATTTCATGAAGATGTAAGATGTACCATTGAAAAGTGACAATTGTCATAATCGTTATTTTTAAAGTTTTTTGAATTTTTTTGACCAAAATGGGTTAAAATAAGTATTGCTAGCATGTTTAAATAAAACTTCAGTGAAGATGTACCCTAGATAAGTGACAATTATCATAATCATTATTTTTAAACTTTTTTTGACTTAAATGGGCCAAAATAAGTATTGATAACATATTTATATAAAACTTCAGTGAAGATGTACCCTAGATAAGTGACAATTGTCAAAATCGTTATTTTTAAAGTTTTTATATTTTTTTAACGCAAATGGGTAAAAATATAAATTGTAAATATGTTAAATTAGAATTTCATGAAAATGTACCATAAAAAAGTGACAATTGTCATAATCGTTATTTTATAACTTTTTTAATTTTTTTGACATAAATGGGCTAAAATAAGTATTGCCATGTTAAAATAAAATTTCAGTGAAAATGTACCCTAGATAAGTGACAATTGTCATAATCGTTATTTTTAAAGTTTTTTGAATTTTTTTGACGCAAATGGGTAAAAATATAGATTGTAAACATGTTAAATTAAAATTTCATGAAGATGTACCATAGAAAAGTAACAATTGTCATAATCGTTATTTTATAACTTAAAATTTTTTAGACGCAAATAACAAAAATATAAATTGCTTACATATTAAAATAAAATTTCAGTGAAGATGTATCATAGATAAGTTACAATTGTCATAATCGTTGTTAATAAAGTTTTTTTCAATTTTTTTGTTTAACATTAAATTTATAGGATGTTGATTGTATCATATTACTAAATAATATTCATATGGTTTTTAAGTTCTTTCTATAAGAATCCTACCCTGAATTCAGACTCAGCACTATTTTGCCACGATTATACAAAAATATTTGCTAATTATGAATGCAAGGTTATACATTTTTATAATGTAGAATTAAAATTTATTAATTAAAGGAATAAGATTGTGAATCCATATCTTAAAAGTTTAGAATTTAACATAGGTTACAACTATCTTTAATAATCACTTTGCATATTTTTATCAAATTTTAAGCAGGATAAAAGGGACAACGATTGTGAATATGAAAATATCAATTTGTTTTTTTGTTTCGACTGAAATTTTATTTTAACATGTTAACAATTTATATTTTTGTCCAATTTAGTCAAACAATTCAAAAACTATAAAAATAACGATTATGACTATTGTCACTTATCTAGGGTACATCTTCACTGAAATATTATTTTAACATGTTAGCAATTTATATTTTAGCCCATTTGCTTCAAAAAATTTAAAAACTTTTTAAAATAACGATTATGACAATTGTCACTTTTATATGGTACATCTTCATGAAATTTTAATTTGACATTTTTACAATCTATATTTTTATCCATTTGTATCAAAAAATTTCAAAAAACTTTAAAAACAACGATTATGACAATTGTCACTTATCTTATAGTACATCTTCTTTGATATTTTATTTTAACATGTTAGCAATTTCTATTTTTGCCCATTTGCGTCAAAAAACTTTAAAAATAAGGATTATGACAATTGTCACTTATCTAGGGTACACTTAGTAATGTATTTTTTGCCCATTTGCGTCAAAAAACTTTAAAAATGATTATGACAATTGTCACTTATCTTGGGTACATCTTCACTGAAGTTTTATTTAAACATGTTATCAATACTTATTTTGGCCCATTTACGTCTAAAAAAGTTTAAAAATAACGAGTATTACAATTGTCACTTTTCTATAATACATCTTCATGAAATTTAAATTTAACAAGTTTACAATCTATATTTTTACCCATTTGCATCAAATTCAAAAAACTATAAAAATAACGATTAAGACAATTGTCACTTATCTAGGGTACATCTTCACTGAAGTTTTATTAATACATACAATACTTATTTTAGCCGATTTACGTCAAAAAAATTTAAAATAAAGATTATGATAAATGTCACTTTTATATGGTGCATCCTAATTGAAATTTTAATTTAACATGTTAAAAATACATATTTTACAGTATAAAAAATCTAATATGTTTAAACATACCGATTATGATAATTGTCATTTTTCCAAGGAACATCTTCAATAACGAATATAAAAGTTGTCAGATTAAATTATTTTCCTTATAAAGATCATATAAAATAACATAAATTAGTTGAATAAAAATATTTTTAAAAAATATTATTTAGAAAACCCACCTCTTTTAATATACTTAAAAAATAGATAATTTTACAAAAATGATAAAAAAACTATAAAAGATTTCACCTAAAAGATTTGTTTATTTATAATAAAATTCACAAAAGAATTCCTCATAAAAGATTTAAAATTTTTATCAAAATATGTTCAAAAATCTTTTTGAACTTCAAAAAATATTTTTTGTTTAAAATTTTAGTTGTGAAACACATTGTAACAAAAATAATATTACAATAGTAGCATATCATTTTTTTTATTAAAAAAACATAATAAAAGAAATCCATATTTCATTTCATTTCATAATATAATAATATAAATAAAAAATATATATCATATAATATGTTTATTTGTTGATAAATAAAATATTAACAAAATATACATAATATAAATTATTTTAATAAAAATAAAAAAATAATAATAGGCCGCGTTATACTTCGCGAAATAGTTTTCGCTATATTGTCTTCGCGATATTGACTTCGCTATAAAATTTTCGCAATTATTGATTCGCGATAAAAATTTCGCTCTAAGGTATTCGCTTTAAAGCTTTTGCGATAAGAGTTTCGCTATAAAAAATTCGCGATATTTGTTTCGCTATAATGTTTTTGCAGAAAAGTATTCGCTAATGCATCGATTCTCTATAACTTAAAGAACAGTCAAAAATAATCAAACTGATGACATTTTTCCATTCCCTTAATATTCAACACCCTAACCATCTTTAATAATTGTGCCCTTTCGTTCTTCATGGAATTGCAAAAGCCTACTATGTCCAATCTTAAGGTGGAATATAAATAAGCCTGAATGATAGTATCCTTTCCTTGGAACCATCATAATTAATTTTATTCTTTTTATATATTTCAATGAATGTCTTTTCATTTAATAAAATATTTTAATCACAAATTTATATGATTTTGTAAATAATATTAAAAAAATTGTCTATTTCATTATACAGAAAGGTATAAAGCTTTGCAAATCGATATCATTGATCTCAAACGCAACATAGAAAATGCGAAGACTATACAAGAAAAAGGTAAACATTAAAAAAACGATGGTATGTAACTATTGAAGATTTTAATCTGTACCAAAACAAACCTCAGTTTTAAAAAAGATATTTTTCAATTGGCTAGCCTAAACAAAAGATCCTTTTTTATGTCCAAGATTTCTATAGAAAGCTATCTCCCTGCCTTGAACTTTGCCCCTCCCTTAACACCACATATTCTCGATGATTATGCTTCTTCACTTATATAATCATGAAGATTTCATATACCATATATTTATTTTTGAATTGAAAATGAAAGCGAAAAAAATATATCAATTAAAGACCTTACGCGCTCAATTACTCTGCAAACATCGTATGATATCTTCTGTGAAAAAACATTTGACTTCGTTTTCCGCTGACTCATTGATATGCCCTGAACCAGAGCGTGAGGCAGGTGCATTATTAAAATATTGATATTTAAATTAAATAAATTCTTTTTAAATAAAACTTCACCTTTTATGGAATTTTGTTTGATTCAGTTCTAGCTCTTGTCATATAGGAACTCTTAAAAAGTCACTTTTTTTTAGTTGTCAGTCATGATTTATACATAGGTATAATTTTTACAGGGTTTTAGTTAATGTTTTTATGTAATGCCTATTCTAACATACTTATATTTACTAAAAACAAAAGACATTCATATAGAATCACCAACTCCATTCGGTACTTCAATATCAGATTGGAGCCTATCTGCAAACTTAAAATCTCTAATCGCAGCTCAACAAACATTATATTCTCCCATTAAAACCTTAAATTTACCACGTTACGATAATCATGAGCCAAATGTTAAATCGCCTATATCGCCATGTACTCACTCTCGTAAAGTTGAAAATAATGTCAAGCAAAAGAAAATAGTTGTCAGTTTCCCACTTGATTACATCAATTTATCACCACAAGGAATAAATGGTTTAGGCGACAGAGCCAAAGGAACCCGAAATCATCAAGATTCAAGTCTTGCTGAGAAATGTTTTACTAATGAAAATGATGCAGAAACGATTGGAGATTTAGCTGAAATTAATGAATCAACACCACTCTATGTTGTTGTAAAAAATAAGGATTCGGATTGTACAGGTTTATAGTATCTATATTATAAATATAAAACAATAAAAAAGCTGGTCAATCATATCATGACTGGCAATATGTTATTATTTTATTTTATTCGATAATCTTTAAGATTCGGAAAACTCTTTATTTCCACATTCTCAGTTCAATTCTCAATTAACGGCCGACACTTTGTTGTTTGCGACATCCACATTTTCTCCAAAAGTTAATAGGTAAAAATAATTATTTTATTATAGACTGGTATTTTAATTTAAAATAATTTTAGTTAATCATGAAAAATTGACCTCTTATGAAAGTTTATAAATATAAATTGCAAGAAATAAAATTTTTCAAAAAGATTTAATATAAAAATAATTATGTTTATAAATTCATATACAAATGAATATAAAGAATTAAATATAAATATTATAATTAGTGTTGTTAAATATTCGGAGTGCAATAACTCGACTCAAAACTCGAGAGTCAACTCATTTTTACGACTCGAGTTATGAACTTGAGTCGTGAACTCAACAGGTTAACTTAAATTAATGAAACTCGAATACTTATATTAGTGTTGTTAATTGGTTGGTTGTGTGATACCCTGGCGCTAGGCTCTAAAAATCCACTAAATCAGCTGAGCATAAACCCCGAGCATAACAGGGGTTCAAACCCATATATTCTAAGTTATTTGTTATTGAACTTATTAAAGTATATAAATATATGGTAATTAGAGGTATCAATCGATAAATAATTAAAAAACCTATTGAATAGGCAACAAGCCAAGCGCTACATCTCGATCGGTGAAGCTATTACTAGGGGGGGGGATATTTGATATAGTTAAACTGATCTTGAAAAACCTTGCTTAATAATATTATCACCCCGCAAGATATGCCTAGCATTATTTAATATTTATTTATTTTTAGTAAAATAATTTATTTTATTTATATATAAATATTTTGATATGATTTAATATTTTTTGTTTATATTATATTATGAAATTAAATATGCTTATAAAATCCTACCTTCAGCCTCATTGTGGTGAGGGAGTGGCAACGTTTTTTGGCGGCTAATGGAGGTCTAAAAGGTTCCCTGTGATCTGGGTCTAGATTAGGATCACCGTCTCCTCAACGGGGTGTAAAAACCACTTAAAGAGGTTGATGTCAGGAAGGGCATCCGATTTTAAAAACCTTGCTACAAAATTTCCCTATGGTTACAACAAAGCATGGGCGGGGTACAGCCCAAAGTACCCCGTGGGCCTCCTCATCCGCCTACGACAAAAAGAAGGATGGGAAACCTGGTGTAACCATGATTCATGAAAATGAAACTTATGACTGCCATAAAAGACCTGATAATAAGTGGAGAAACCAGTTTACGGGGGATCGAGTTAGGGTCGCGACATGAAATGTTGGAAGTATGACGGGAAGAGCGGGAGAAGTGGTCGATGTATTGCATAGAAGGCATATAGATGTGTGCTGCATACAGGAGACTAGATGGAAAGGGGACACGAATGATTGGCAAGGCTAATGAAAAGTATAAATTCTTTTGGCAAGGAAGTATTGATGGTAAGGCTGGAGGTAGGGTATTGGTTGCAGAGAAATTGGTAGACAAAGTAGTCGAAGCGAGAAGGCTAGATAACCAGATAATGGTTATCAAAATGATTTTTGGTAGAAAGCTATATAATATCTCGGCATATGTTCCTCAGGTTGGAAGAAGTGAAGAAGAGAAAGATATATTTTGGGTTGGAAGTGACATCGAGATTGGCAAATTAATAGGGGATTATCCTGGCTGGTGATCTGAATGGACATGTGGGAGCGAGTAGTGAGGGTTATGAAGGAGTACATGGAGGGTTTAGATGCGGCATGAGAAATTTGGAAGGAGAGAGTATTTTAGATTTTAGTGATGCTATGGATATGATTGTCTGTAATATAATGTTTAAGAAAGAATCTGAGAAGCTGGTGACGTATAAGTCGGGTAGTACCAAAAGTGCAGTGGATTATTTGTTATTAAGGAGATGTGATCGAAGTATAGTAAAAAATGTGAAAGTGATACCCGGAGAGGAATGTATAAATCAGCATCGATTAGTTGTAGGAGATCTCACTCTTAAAGGTGCCAGGATCACTAAAAGAAAGTTTGTGCCAAGGCTGAAGGTTTGGAAATTGAAGGAGGAGAGTGCTAGACGTAAATTCACTATGACATTGGCGATTAGGGAGGCGGAGGTGGCACAAGCATCTGGGGTAAATGACAAGTGGGAAGCCATGAAGAAAGCCTGGGTGATGACAACTGAGGAGGTGTGTGGATGGACAAAAGGGCCGCCTAGACATAAGGAGACTTGGTGGTGGAACCCGGAGGTAGCGAAAGCTGTGGATGAGAAACGGAGGAGCTTCAAAAAATGGTATAACAGCAAATTAAATAGTGATAACGATATTTACAAGATGGCTCAAAGAAATGCTAAGAAATTAATAGCGAAAGCGCAAGAAGAAAAAAAACAGGAGTTTGCTAAAGAAATGGAATGGGAAATATGGTTCGAATGGCAAAGCAGGTGTCAAAAAAGAGGCAGGATGTGATAGGTGTTAAATGTTTGAAAAATATGGAAGGAAAATGGTGATTGATAGTAGTGGTATTAAGAACACCTGGAAGATCTACATGAAAGGACTTTTGAATGAAGAAAATGAATGGGATAATAATGTTAGTTGTGCAAAGGTAGAAGGTCCAGGGTGTAAATTTGGAAAGGACGAAATAAAGAGAGCAGTGAAAAAGATGAAAAAAGGGAAGGCATCGGGTTTAACGATGGTGGTATCAGAGATGTTTAGGGATTGAATGGTTAATAAATTTAGCCAATCAAATTGTCAAAGAAGGAACTATTCCCGAAGACTGGCGAATAAGTATAATTATCACAGTATGGTGATCCTTTAGATTGCGGGTCTTACAGAGCTATGGAACATGCAATGAAAGTATTTGAGAGGGTGTTAGAGAAGCGGATAAGGGAACAAACTGAAATGCAGTTTGATTTTACATCGGGAAAAGGCACGACAGATACAATTTTTGTGGTCAGACAAATGCAGGAGAAGTATCTTGCCAAGGAAAAGAAACTATTATGCGTTTGTTGATTTGTAGAAAGCATTTGATAGGGTGCCGCGTGAGGTTACTAGATGGGTCTTGAGAAAATCAGGCGTGGAGGAATGGTTGGTTATCACAGTGATGGCTGTATGTTGGAGCACAAACAGCAGTACGGAGGATTATGGTTATAGTGACAGCTTTGAGGTGAAGGTATGATTCATCAAGGATCCGTGCTGAGTCCATTATTATTTATCATAGTAATGGATGTGGTGGCTAGAGAAATGCGTGAAGGATTTCCCTGGGAGATATTATATGCAGATGACCTTGTATTAATGGCAAACAGTGAGGAAGAATTGAGGGATAAAATTAGTAAATGGATGACTATGGAAGCAAGGGCCTGAAAATGAATGCATGAAAGACAAAGGTGATGATTGGTGGGGAAAATCTAAAGATGGAAGAATCCGGTAAGTGGCCTTGTGTTGTATGTGGGAAAGGAGTTGCTAGAAATTCTATCCAATGCACCAGATGCCAGAAATAAGTACATATTAGATGTAGCGGGAAAATAGTAAGTTTGATGTTAGAAAGAATGACCTTTATTTGTAGAACTGCATGAAAGGGATACATAATAATGATAACCTAGAAAATAATGGTCTGGATATTGCCATGGGTTAATCCTAAAGAAAGTGGATAAGTTTTGTTGTGTAGATTCTGCCGTTGTTGCAAGGATCAGACAAGCTTAGAAGAAGTTCAGAGAGATGTCGTCTATTCTTACAAATAAAAAAGTCTCTGTAGTTAAAGGGGAAAGTTTACGTAAGCTATTTGAGGAGTTGTTTAGTTTATGGCGGCTAAACATGGGCAATGAAGTGACTCACGAAGCCAAATTAGAAAGAACAGAGATGAGAATGATTAGATGGATGTGTGGGGTATCTCTGAGAAAGAGAAAAACTAGCAAGGAATTGCGAGCAAGATTGGGTATAGAAATGATCGGAATGGTAATGCGACGAAATAGACTAAGATGGTTTGGGCATGTGGAACGTATGACAAGAGATGACTGGGTAAAGAGATGCACAATGATGGAAGTAGGAGGATCAAGACCTAGAGGAAGACCCAAGATGACGTGGACAAATGTGATAGCGGCGGATATGAGAAGCATGAATCTTACAAATATTGATGCTCAGGACCGTCAAAAATGGAAAAGAAAAATCAGAGGGAAAACTGGCCTACCTTGGTAAACCTAGAAATCGCCATAAAACGGAGAAGAAGAAGAAGAATATTATGAAAATGGATTTATTTATTTCATGTTTTTTAATAAAAAAAATGATATGCTGCTATTGTTTGTAATATTATTTTTGTTACAATTTATTAGTGATTTTCACACCCAAAATTTTAAGCAAAAAATATTTTTTGAACATATTTATATTTGATAAGAATTTTAAATCTTTTTTGAGGAAATCTTGTGTGAACTTTATTATAAATAAACAATTTTTTAGGTGAAATCTTTTATAATTTTTTTAAAATCATTTTTGTAAAATTATCTATTTTTTTAAGCATGAGACTGAGAGGCTGTTTTTTCTAAATAATTATTTTTATAAATATTTTTATGTTATTTTATATGATCTTTTTAAAGGTAATATTTTAATGTGACAATTGTCATATTCGTTATTTTCTACCATTTTTGAAATTTTTTACCACAAAAGGGTAAAAATATAATTTATATAGTAAAGATGTTAAATTATAAATTCAATGAAGATGTTCCTTGGAAAAATGACATTTATCATAATCGGTATTTTTAAACATATTAAATTTTTTTTGACGCTAATGAGCAAAAATATTTATTTTTAACACGTTAAATTAAAATTTCAATTAAGATGTACCATCTAAAAGTGACAATTGTCATAATCGTCATTTTTAAAGTTTCTTGAATTTTTTTTACGCAAATGGGCAAAAATAAGTATTGCTAACATGTTAATTAAAAATTTAATGAACCATAGATAAGTGACAATTGTCATAATCGTTATTTTTAAAGTTTTTGGAATTTTTTTGACGCAAATGGGTAAAAATAAGTATTGCTAACATGTTAAATTAAAAATTTAATGAAGATAATAAGTTCAATAAGAAATAACTTAGAATATATGGGTCTGAACCCCTGTTATGCTCGGGGTTTATGCTCATAGCTGATTCAGTCGATTTTTAGAGCCAAGTGCCAGGTCTGGGTATTACACAACCAATAAATTAACAACACTAATATAAGTAATCGAGTTTCATTAAATTTAAGTTAACCTGTTGAGTTCATAACTCGAGTCGTAAAAATGAGTCGACTCGATTTTTGAGTCGGTTTTTTGACTAAAAACTCGACTTGAATCGTAGTTAAGCCGACTCGGCTGAGTCGTTTAACAACACTAACTTATATTTGTAATTAATTTATTTATCATTTATTTTTTAATTTAAGCTTTCTTTTCTCAATGAAATAAAATGTTTTTATATCTAGGAACTATGAGTTTAGTTAATATTTGCAAAGGGACCCTAATTCTTGATCTAGTATATGCTGTTTAAATAAATTCTCTTTTAACTGTATGTGTCCACTTATTTTTTATTATTAATTAGAAACCTAAATAATTTAAAAAAAATTATAATCATTTTAATTCAAAGCCACATCCTATTTTTATATAATAATAGAGTGATCAGGAATAAAAATAATTGAAAAAAAGAAATCGGAGATATTAACATTTTGTCTCTAAATTAAAATATAGTAAAAAATATGTGTGTTAAAAAAAATTAAAATTATATGTTTATACATGATGATATCCTAAAAATCATCCAGATCTTTTATTAATGCTTTAATTCATAAAAAGAAAATTTATATATATGTTAGCGGCAATGTATTTTTTCAACTTTATATCATTTTTTGAGCGCGTTTTTTTTGAATTTAAATATCTGATTTTATCGGAAATGTATTGCATAATGTTTGGAATACCCACTTTATGAATTCTAGATAATTTTGAAATCAACTTTTATACTATAATTTATATTCGTTTTTCCATAATTTCTATATAATTTGTAAATGACTCACTGGTTAACGGCAAAATTGTCTGGAATTCATAAGGTAACTATTCTAGGCATGCTAGAATACATGTACAGTAAAATCAGATTTTTAAATATAAAAAACGCGCTCAAAAAATGATTTAAAGTGGAAAAATAACATTATCGGAAAAAACACATTACCGCTAACATATATACTTACAATTATTTGTTATTTTAATATAGTATTGCATTTTGAATTAATAAAGGTATACCATTAAAATAAACTTATTTCTCTCATTGAAATTGCCACATTAAGCCATTTAGATTTAGCTTGTAAATATTTTGTTAATGGAAGAATTTAAATATCCTGTAAAAACACATTTATTTAATTGATAAATTAAAATATGATAATTTGTAGATGTTGGATAAAAAGATTCATTTGAAAAATGTGCAATGCAGAAACATGAGTATTTGTATGACTTAAGAAAATTCTCTTTTAACTGCATGGATCCATCTGAAAAGAGCTTTATTGTTAATTGGAAACTTTAATCATTTTAAAAAAGAAATCATTTTTATTTAAAGCCACAGTCTATTATCATTAATAATAAAGTGATCAGGAATAAAAATAATAGAAAAAAAGTCAGAGATATTAACATTATGGTAAATTTTTTATATAATAAAATATATATTTATATTCTGTTTTAAATTAAGCCGCTATTTTTTATATAAATCAAAATGTTTAAAAATGCTCCATCTTGAGGAATTTTTTTTGTCACTTTATTTTCTTATTATATATTATTATAAAAATTGATTAATATATATATATATTTAATTTTTTATATTCATTTATATATGAATTTTTAAACAATATTTAATTATTTTTATATATCCTTTTGAAAAATTTTATATCTTGCTAAATACAATTTCATAAATACATGAAATATTTAACCATAAAATTATTATAAACACAGACTTATTAAAGCAAATGTTGTATCATTGAAAATGGCTGCCAAATGACTGATGTCTTAAATACATTATAAAATTGGGGCATTGGGCACTATATGTTAATATAAGTCTATGTTTCCAGCAATATGCGTTATCTTATCAACAAATAATTGTCATATCTTATAAGTCTATGTTTCCAGCAATATGCGTTATCTTATCAGCAAATAATTGTCATATCTTATAAAATTGTCTCAAATTATAAGGTAGGTATTATGCTGGTATAAAATACAAAATCAGATATTTCAAATTTAAAAAATGCGCTAAGTAAATGATGTAAAGTTAGAAAAAAAACAAAATAATTTGTTAACCACAATTTTAAATTTGAAAATCTTATTTGCCGAAAATATATATCAGTATATGTAAAATAACTATACTTGACCTCTTTAAAAGCAACATTATAGAATATTTACTTAAAACTTGAACTAAATATACATATAGCAAAATGACATACTTTATTTTTGGTTTTTGCACTATTTAATGTATTTTATATATAGGATTTCTTCCAATTAGGTGTAATCCACCTTAGTTTTAGCTGATGAGTGTTATACATATGTCCACTACCCGGAAATTTTGATTGACTCCCATGAATAAGACAATATAAAGCAACTTGAACAAAATATAACATTATATTATAGTTATAAAATAAATTTAAAAAATCGAAGATAATTATTTTCCAAAAAAACTTAAAATTCCATTTCTTTAAAGCCTAAAAAAATATATGCGCTTCGTTATTCAAATAATCGAACATTATTGCATTTTAAGAAGGTCAAAAGGAAGGCAAAATCCTTGCCTGTTCACGCCTAAATTGGATTTCAGCATCATAATATTTTACGTTTGAGCATTAATTCCTAAAAGGTGAATTTTCAAATTTTCAAATATAAGAGCATGGAGTTTTTATATGTAAATATATATATATAAATTTGTTAATTATATAATAATATTGGCATTCAGGAGATCAAAAATCCTTTTCAATAAACCTTCTTCCATCAATAAATCAACTAGCCACCAAAAACAAACGTATATCGACAATTCTATCAACTCCATATCGCACAATACCGATTCTTTATCTTTCAATATACATCAAACCGACCCTTCCACCCTTATTAATATAAATATCGGCAACAAGAATACTAATAAATTTGTTAATACTAACAACTCGACGGCTAAAAGGGAAAATGATTTGAATGTTGATTACAAGAATTTACAAAGTTTTGACGATATCAAAATCAATATAAACATGAATCCTGCTAATAAAAAAAATGGCCAAACTAGGGAGAGTGCCCTTGACATTGACAAATATCCCGTTTCAAATTCTGGTAGTTATGCTCCACAAAATGTATCGAAAAGTGACAAAGCTGATATTTATAATGGTTTTGCCCAGTGGAATACTCAAAATTATTCAAACAACATTTCTTCCTCCGATACTATCCCAGTTTTCAGCGATGTCAGTGGTATCAGGGAAAGTTTCCAAGTATATATATTACTTTTATTTTTAGACACAAAACAATTGTTAAAGACAATAAAGTTATATGATATATATATTTATGATATCATTTGCTGGCTCAAAACTTGGCCTGGAGTGAACCATACAATGAATATAAAAATCCTGGTCCGGCTTAAAAATAAATTAAAAATCTGACTGGGTCAAGTCGAATTTTTAAAAATAAACTTAAAATATATAAATCTACTAGTTGGAAAATAATATGCAATGGACCATTTAACGTTCATATTTCAATTTCTCCAAGAAACAAACTACAAAATGCAGCCAAATTATTTTAAACTCCGGGTCAGGCTTTAAAATAATCAAATTTCTAAAATTCATCGATAATTTTTATATTAATCCAGGCCAGGTTAAAAAATTTTTTTTAATCAAACTGGATCTAAGAATTATAATTGGGCTAGACCTAAAAATTAGACCTCTATGGGTCTCTCTTCAAGTTGTATTCCATCAAGTCTCAATTTTTATTTTGAATGTTTCTTATAATAACTGGTTCTTAGTAGAGGTCTATGCAGCTCAAACCGGCCCGTGGAAATTTTCTATTGGGTTTTCTGGCTTGTAATTTTTTGCTCGGCCCATAAAAAACATTTTATGCAGGTTGTCCAGCTCTACCCATAAAATTTTTCATTAAAGAAGGCCACATAAATGCATTTTCAAAACTCCGGCCTGTAAAAATTTTGAACAATTTGTCCTGCCCAAAAATATTTTCCCAGCCCGCCGATCGGGGTAGGTTGACCTCTAATTCTTAGTAAGGAGATGGTATTAAATAAAACGAACTAACTATTAGTTACGATTAAATTTTATAATTATTGTTACAGAACCATGTCGTTAAATAGTCACATATTAAAATGATACTTAAATTGGTTAAAATAAAAGGAATTTACATAAAGTCCAATTCCTGATGTAGGATATTGGGGCTGATATATACATCTGCTTAAAGCACATATATGGAGTAGAGTTAGCTTCAAAACAAAAAAAAGAGTATCATATCAAATCAACCGAAGATTCAACCCACCCTCTTCGATTTTATTAAAAATGTTTATAATGGTAGTATATACACTAACTAGTAAAAATATAAAATTTTAATTCCCAACTCAGCTTACTTCATGAGATATGGTCATCTTTAGAAAAGCGAAAAAAATATATTAGAGTTAATTTTAAATATCTCAAAAAATAATTAGCTAAAAACATTATTAAATTTTATTAAATAGCTCTACAATAGCCCTTTAATATGATATAAAATTTATTTTATTGAAAATGAGTCTATTACCAAAAATCGGAAATAGCTATAAAAAAGAAAACTGCTCTTTTTTTCTTTCAAATTTTTTTTTAAATTTAAAATATGTAGTAATTTTTTTAAATTTTAAAAATAAAAGACAACTTAAAATTTGGACATTTAAAAAAATAGATGGGTGGACATTAAAGATCTCTGGGTTGGGCCTGATATTTTTAAAAAAATCGGACCAGGTCGGCTTGATTTGAAATGAAATAAATATATTTTAAAGTTTTTGCAAGAAACAAGTAGCCAATATTTTTTATTTGTTTGTAGAATGATCATAAACTCGATTTTGTTCAAACTAATGCTAAACTTTATTAGGAAAAGAATAATATTTATATCTAAATTAATTCGAGCCGGGAACAAATAATTTTTATTTCAGGTCGGACTTTTCGGGACAAATTAAAAAAACTGTCTGGGATAGGGCCGGGCTGGGCTTGAAAAATTAGGCCCGATGAAAATCACTAGTGGAAACTGTGTTGTATTTTAACATATAAGTTTAGCTTTTATTTTAGAAAAAAAATAATTATAAAGATATTTATAACTAGCTAATTATTTATAATACATGAAAATCATCGCAAATTAATATTATAGTAAACATTAATTAAATAGTATCATTCATTAAATAATTTAATGAAGAATAAAATTTTTCATTTTTTCTTTCATGGAAATAAATGCATGTGGCTGTTGAAAATCTATTTTCGAAATTGGTTCATGCTTATATATTCAACGTTGCTGACGAATATTTAATGAATCCCAGCGATATTAATTCTCCTATAATTACACAAATCCTAGGTGTTCGCATACGGTTATTATAAGGACGTTGCAGACTTGTTCTAGCACCCCCATAAACTATTGCAAGAAGTTTTGCTAAATGTAGTTCCAAAAAATTACCATTCTGCTTTGATCCCAAAATCATTCTCATGATTAGAGGTTAAAAGTTTTTTTTATGCTGAGTAGCATCTCCATCAGAGAAGTATAAAATTATTGAAATTTTTCTGGCAAGAACTACAAATATTTTGATTAATTGATATCCTAATATTAAAACACATTAATTGTGATTTTAACCGAAAGAGGTTTCAGCACATTACTAGAATTGAAATAACTTCTTTTTTTTTCTCTTTGTAGACAAAATAGAAGATGTTTATTAATTTTATAAAATTATGACAGTTGTTAAAATAAATAAATCAATTGGATAATGAATACGTAATTTAATATATATTTCTGACGATTTCAAAGATTTAATTATCTGGTAAAAAAAATAAACATTGTTCACTCACACAGTTACCAGATCAAAAATTTTAATTCTAAAAAGATTTTTATTTTGCTAGACGAAGGTCCATTCTTGGGTGGTGAAGAGATTATTAGGTTGTTACTTTATTATACAAATCATTATTATTTATTCCTTATAATGCTTCCAAATTGAGGCGTTTTTCGTTTTTATAATAATATAGTATAATTTGGAACACGGTTTTTTTTTAATATTCAAAAAAAAAATGTAAAATAGTCTTGGTTTTTTAAGATTTTAGTTAGTTATTTTTTGCATATTGACCGCTTTTAAAAAAGAAATTATATATTTGGTATAATATAGGATTTAAACCAAAGATCTGCAGAGGTACCATTTGCACGGCTCGTCCTGGATTTTTTAAAAATATATTATATTTATTTTTATACCTAACAATGCCGATTTAAGGCTTTAAAATATACCCCCCCCCCCACTCCCGGTATATTTTAAAAATTAAAATAGCGGCTACAGGACTCTGAATTAAACCATACAACTTTTTTTTAAAGTGCAATAACTCATGGGCCAGTATTCACCATCTAGGATTTTGTACAAATATTAGGGGGTATAATTTCTGAAATATGAAAGAAAAGAGCATTTTCATTTTATAGCTATTTCCGGTTTTTGGTAATAGACTTATTTTCAATAAAATAAATTTTATATCATTAAAGGGCTATTCTAGAGATAGTTAATAAAATTTAAATTATTTTTTGAGCTTAATTAATCTTTGAGATATTTAAAATCAAATATGGTTGTTATATTTGAATATTTATATATTGTAAAGGTTAAGATATATATTTTAAAAGGTTACGTTATTTGTATGATATATTATTATAATTTTTTTACATTTCATATTATCTTATGGAGGTCAATGTAATTGCATATTAGTAGAAGTTGACATAATTATAAAATACTATATATATATAGGAAATAATTTTAAAATAAAGAATCGATTGTTTTGACTAAAAAATGGCGACGAAATAAAAAAAAATATATATAAGTCGCGCAATTTTCGGTCTTCGGTCAAGTTTAATATATAAAATTATAAATTTTTTTCCTGTTTATAAAAAAAAATAATATATTTTGGAAATTATGGATAAAATATTTTTACAGGATTTTAAAAAAGAAGATTGTTCCATCGATGACTACATTGATTATATAAAATACATACTGAATGTGAAAAATATTTTTCAAACTGGCCACTTTTAAAAAATTATTTATAGCTTATGGAGGAATAAACATTATAACTGATATCAAAAAATTACTCTATCCTAGGAAAATAGAGGAGGTAGGATGGATTGACATATACAAAATTGCTAAACAACTGTATAAAGATGAAAGAACTATTTTGGCATCTAGAATTGATTTCATTAGATTAAGTCGCGGGCCTACTGAATCCGTAATGAGCTATTTAAAAAATATAAAGGAGCTAGCCCGAAGATGCGAATTTGGTAATTCGTGCAATTAATCCCCGGACTAAAGATATCACAACTAGATAAAGAACTACGTTTAAGATATCCAAATACTAAAGACGAAGATCAACTGTTGAACTTAAACAAAGATGTAGAATTGGCTTTAGCGATGGAACCGGCTGACTCAGAAATAAATAATATTGCTAAAATGGTATGAAAATAATAATGATAAATCAACATGATAAAAACAATCGGCATTATAATAATAATGATAATGATAAACGGCACTATCAAAAGGATAATAAAGCATATGTAAAAAGAGAAACTATGTAGGAAATCAAACCACTTCGCCGTATGTTGTAAAAAAGAAAAGATTTATGGTACAAATTTCAATAATAAAGACGACTATTCGGATGTCTCTAAGAAAAATATACAAATATGGACAACATCCAACAATTGAGGTATTAATAGACAACCAAAAAATTAAAATGGAATATGATAAGGGCTCGGCAGTAAGCATTATTAATGAAATAATATGGAATAAAATCGGAAGGCTAAAACTTAAGGGCAGCTTACACCTCGAGAACGTTACAAAATGCTGAAAAGAATTATTCGGCAATCGACAAAGAAGCTAAAGAGAGTAAACGGCGTAGAAAAATTAACTATTTGTTTGGACGAAAATTTAAAATACGAACGAGAGATTTTAACTCATGGTGGGAAAAATTTCGAAAAATTAGTCAACCGCTGTATTGGGTATCAAAAACATCGCAGAGATATACCAGAAGTTGCCGTATACCCATGGAATCTAGAGATCGATAGAAAGATACCACAAGTAAACGATATGGTGTTACACGTCAAATTGTCACTTCATTTTCCACGTCAAATTGTCACAGACAATGGTCCACAATTCATTTCAAATGAATTTTATAAAAAGAAGTAACGGATTAGTAGAAAGATGTGGGGAGAAGACTAAATACTTTATTAGACTGGGGGAAACCTTCAATTACTGAAAAATTAGAAACCTCTGTAGTAAAACATGACCAGTTAAACAAAGGCCAACATAGATATTTTGGAGAAAACGAATTAGTTTGGATAAAAAATCCACTTGAAAAAGGATGAAGATGAAATCAATAATAACAATATAAAGTTAAATATATTATTATACCTTTCTTACATTTCATATTATCTTATGGAGAATGTAATTGCATATTAGTAGAAGAAATGACATAATTATAAAATATTATGAGTAAATTTATGGAACGGCACCTCTAAAACAGTCCTGAAATTATATATAAATTTCTTATTTATTTCCATAATTTAAAATATTAAGTTCTTAAGATTTTATAAATCTTATCCTAAATTTTTTCCTCCGATGAAGATTGGAAAACTATGGCGTCAACATTAGAGCCGTTAAAAAAGTAAGCTTAATTTTCCAAAAAGAGACCATTTTCCATGATTTCAGTTTTCAACAAGGTAAAAAATGCTAATGAATACTTTGTTCTTCCTTATATCTAGATCTTAGGTTTAAATCTCTTTTGAACGAAGAGGAAATAGCTATAAATAATTTATTGGCGGCATTGAAACATATTAAAAATTTTAAGGATGGAGATTTAAATATAATAAGTAAATCAGATAAATCTTCTGAAGAAGGGCAAAAATTTGATGAATTAGAAATATTTCTAAGGTCCAAGGATTAAAAAGAAAATAACAAAACTTACAAAAAGGATATTCTATTAACTATAAAAAAAATTCTAGCGGTAAAGATTAATCAAAAATTGTGGTAGAATACTGGTAATTCAATAAAATAAAATATTCTAACCTATATGACCCAAATCGTATTAGCACGCCTTGTAACCAGATAAGTGTTGAACGTTGTTTTTCGACACTCAAATTTATACTAACGCCACAAATAACTAATATAAATGATAATCTTTTAAAATATATAATTGCTTCGATGTAATAATAGATTCATTTAATGATTACATAAAGATTATTTAAAATGTGAGATTTAAAGAATATATTTAGATATTTTTATAGGAATGAAGGTGGAATAGAAACGGAACAATTTTTTGACCGGAACGGGAACGCAAAAATGCCCTTGTTCCGGGTCCCTGTATACTGTCAACTAGTGTTGTTAAACGGCTCGATTTGAGCCGATTTTTAAAAACGGCTAACTCAATATTTCATTCAGAAAAATATTACTCAAGCCTGAAGATTTTACTCATAGTAGGAACAAAGGTCTAGACATCTATTTACAAAATCTCGAGGCTTAGGCAATATTTTTCTGGCTAAAATATTGAGTTAGCCGTTTTTAAAAATCGGCTCAAAACGAGCCGTTTAACAACATTACTGTCAACACACACATTTTGAAAAAAAATCGAAGGGAGTCTTGTTGAGAATCGAGTTCTTTTAGTTGATTTAATATCGAATCCAACATATATATATTTGGGGTTTAAAATATCTTTTTAGCATGTGACTATTTCTGACACTTTGCGTACCATAACATTAGCCTGATCACCACTTAATGATTACTTGAATATTCTTTTTCGTCTAGAGTCTTGACCCCCCCCCCCCCCTTACCAAAGAATAAAATAATTTTAAGATTATTATTTCTATCACTTAAAAAAGTTGTACCGATCCGATAATAATGTCTTGTGTGACGACGATATATCAGAGAATTTTAATGGTCCGAATCACAATCTCAATTCTAATGACGAAGCAAAGAATGATGAAAATATTCTTTCTAAATTTCCCTCATCCCTTTCGCCATCATCTCCGGCTTCCAGCCTTTCCTCATGTTCCGATAAAACGCCCTTATATTTTTACGCCTCAGAACAGTACAAAAAGGGGGAAACTTTTTAAATATCCGTTAAAATAAAAAAAGCTGGGTACAATGAAAAATTATCTTCAGGTAAAACAAGTAACCAATCAATCAAAACTTTAGTTATGTTGGCTTGACCTTGATATTCAAACCTTGACTAATTACTAATCTGAAAACAATAAAAATATCAAATATTCCGCTTTGAACAAGAAAATAAGCAATATTTATAGCAACAAGTTTTTGATATATTTTAATGAATGTCATAGGTCATTTGCCGATTTTATACGACACATATATTTTTTTTCCTAATTTAATATAATATTTAATCTATTAAAATCCGTTATCAAAAAAAATATGTATATTGCTGTGATAAATCTTTATATAGTAATTGAAGATTTTTTTAAAATTAAATCCTTTTTGAACTAATAGCATATAAAATATAAAAAGATCTAGGGGTTTTAAAAAGAATTGTTCCTATTTTAAAGAATGTTTAAAATTATCCCTTTTGTTTTTCTCACTGTTGATTTAATCATAATCTTTGCAATTGAATTTTGAGTTATGTTTATATTGTACACAAGGTATGAAGTTATTAAAGATTTTTTTCATATATTATATACTTGAATATGGCCAAAAATTATAATTTTTTATAAATAACTTAATATATTATTTATATTATATTTATATAAAAAAATGTAGTAAAATATAATGCTAACTCGACATATTTCATATTCTTCGATTTATAGATTAGATATATTTTGAACCTAATTAAATAAAGTTATAATAAATACTCTACATAAATAGTTTAGTTATTATTTTTCTCTATCATTTAGATGTCTTGTACACTTCATTTAAAAAAAATTTATTTAAGGAGTTCACATAAAAAGACTTTTCACAAATAAATAGCATTTTTAGGTGTTCTCAAATTAAATGTAGCTGTGCTTTTGTTCCTCACTAACCAGTCTGTACAAATAAAAATCAATTCGATTTAAATCAAATAATTTTATTTAAGGTCATTGATTTATATAAATTTTTTTTAACTAAACATAGTAATTATTAAAATTCCTCACTTATAAATCACTTGGCATTTAGCTACAAACACCCTTTGAATTGTGAAATTTATTAAAATATTAAATTTTTTCATCAATTTATTTGATCATATATTTATGAACTAACAAACAATACTCAAATATATAACTAATATTCTTTTTAGATGTAAATTTAAACAAATTTAAGATTAAAAAACAAAATTTCGGCGCTTCCTCTTTCCTTGCAGATTGTGTGAAATTAATATTTTGTCTTTTTCTAAATATCTGCAGCCACCTAGAATTATAAAAATTGTAGATATTTATATTATTTAGAACTACCTCATCAAATATTTTGCTGTTAATTCAACCTTTTTTTAGGATGGAAAGACCATTCACTGCAATTAGGGCTCCGTACCTGCGCAAGTCAAATTAATAATGCTATCTCTGTTTTCTGAAAGCTAATTTTCTTATGCTAGTAGTTTATTTGTAAGGCATTGTGATAATTTTGATTCTATTCTATGAATTATATTTTCTAATAACAATTTAAGCATAAAATAATAACTAAGTGATACGGGATAAAAAGAAAAACCTATCAGGTTGGGTATCAAGAATTTAAGGGATTGATGTAAATTCAAAAATAATTTTTTAAAATTATTTAGTGCTAATCTCCAATACAAAAATCATCGCTTCGCATATATCCGATAAAAATAGCGTGTTAACATATAAATGGGACTTTAAATTTTTCGCATTAACCGATTTGCATTTAAAAATAACATTATGCCATTGAAGATTTTAACAAAATGGCTTATTATTTTCGCATTCAAGAATATTTGTACTTATGTGATATGCAATTACGCGGTTTTGATTGTATAGACAATTTTGAGAAACAATATTTGATTATTTTTATATTTTTTAAAAAATTTCCAAAAAACATCCCTAATATGTCAATTCCCATCTTTCTAATCTGTTTTTAACCAATAATAGCACATATCAATTGAGGCATATATAAATTAATTAACCTTTTATCATTTATTATTCTTTAGACGCAAAATCATTTCATATCAACAATCGAAAATATTTTAATCTGTAATAAATAGATTTTCTATTAAAAAATATTATTTTAAATGCTAGTTTATTTTGTATGCAAAATATAATAAATGACATTCAGAATAATTATTTAGAGTTAGTAAATTTTAAAAAAGTATAATATATTAATATAAAACCCGGCCCCTCATAAAAATTTTTTAGTTGAAGCCCCCTGAGATTGTAAAGGCTAGCGACGCCCCTGCATCCTCACCATCTTTATCAAGTGCTATTTGCAAGCATATAATACAAAAGTCTTTATCTGTAGCAACACTGGTTCTTCTATTATTTGTGTCAGTTTTTAATATTAAGGATCCAAAATGTTTCCATGCAAAAGAAGGCTTTGCTTGCAAGGCTATACTATATTTTGTTACAGGGTATTGCAATGCTGCATCCATTATAATTGTTTTAGTCCTGGTATTTTTATATATGTTATAATGGCAAATAAAAACCATTAATTAAAATTTCCTATTATGATTAAAAATAAATTTTATATAACGAGTTGTAAATTATTTGAAGCATCAAAAATTCAAAGAATAAAATATAGAATTACCTTTTCAAATTTAATGTCCTAATCTTATTTTATCTAGCACGTTGGTCACGAACCTGCCCAAAGTGAGGGAATTTACATATCAAATTTATAGCAAATAATATTTATTAATTTTAAAAAATAAAATCTTTAATAATTCAAAAAATAATTAATATTTTTCGTCTAATTACAATTCATAAATAATATATAAAATAAATTAATATTAAAAAATATGTATCACGCCGCAGAATTTTTACATCAGCGGTGGCGTGTTGAGCGCCGACACTTTTTTAGCACGCTGTGTAGGCATGGTCTAAATCAGCGGCGGCGGCGCATTTGACCGGCGGCGCACATGTCTATATATGAGTAACACATTTAAAATGAATATAATCATCAAATAAATAATTGGAATTTTATTTATCCTCCTCACCTTCTTTATATGCAAAAGAGGATTTTATGTCAGTACAATCTAACGATGAGTTGTTATCATTTTCTTTTGAAATAAGAGAGATTAACAAGTCGGCCCTGTGCCATACAAGATATTAGGTAAGTTATAATTGATGAGCGAGAAGCTGCGTTCGGATGCCACAGAAGTTGGAATGGTTAAAGTAATCCGTAATATAATGAATATATTTTGTATATCTTTATTTAACCTACTAATGTTAATATAGCGTAAATTTTTAATAGAGTTTTTATGGGATGCTTGCTTAATATATTCACAAAAAATTTAATTCAATTGGTAGGTTCTGCGGATTAATATTTTCTTCTAACATATCCTATCGATTTCCTTTAGCTCTCTTTCAGGGGCATTTATCAATTCTGGTAGATTAAATAAGAATCTAAAATGATCTTTAAGAGCGCTGGAAATGTTCTTCCAACGAATTTCTCGCTTGATCTAGTACTAGATTGAAAAATTCAATCTCATATTCTTTTTGAGAATCATGTATAGCCGTGGCATCTCCTTCGTTTTTGAACTTTCCACCTACGAATTATGGAAAGCATTACTCTTCAAACTCATTTCAGATTCCTGCACAAGATCTTTTGCTGAATCAAGAGAATTCAGAAATCCGTTTCTCTTAAAGATATTTAAAATATCATGCATACTTTCTATAAGCGACCAATTAAATATTGTTACTTTTCATGACCTTACTTGCTAAATTCACCTGGGTTAAGATATCAACCTAGATAATGGAAATTGTTTTAATTCTTTAGCCAATGACTTCTGTGCAGCATTTGGGGTCATTAGTTTTTTACGGATACGTTATATTGTGCATCCTAAATATCACCAACCTTCTAATGGCTAGTACACTATCCACCTTATACTCCATCGTATTTCAGGTTTTCAATTATTCTATGATCCTTTAAAATTTGTCATCACTGAGTCGAAACAAAAATGAAAATATATATTTCTTTGGACAACGATGAAAATTGATTTTGCGATTAATAATTTTTGTGACATGTCACCAAGTAGCAGATTTAAGATGTGGCAATCATAAGGCAAAAAAACGCTCTCCGATTTATTTGTAATGAGCTTGAACCCTTATCCTCTCATATTTGATGCGTTATGGTAACCTTGTCAACGACAATTATTTTTATCTCTAATTCCATATTTTTAAATAATTATAAAAATTATTCTACAAAGGCCTGGCTAGTACTGGACAGAGACCTTCATGGGCCTTAATTTTTTGACCAAGCCCGTCCCAGGCCCTCAGTAAAAAAATTTTTTAGGCCCAAGCCCGGCCCGGCCTATATCTAATGTTAAAAAAAATTCCAAGCTCATGATAAGTTTCAAAAAAATTTCCCAAACCCGGCCCAAGCCCATATCCAAAAATTTAATTTTTTTTATTTAATGAAAATAAACAATATTTAAATATATTTAGGCAATCATTTTGTTTACAATACTATTAGAAGGAAAAAAGGCAATATTTTTTTATATTTCTAAATTTAAATTTAAAAATCCAGGCCCGGCCCAGCCCGCTAGAAAAAATATAATATTAGATACCCGGCCTCTGCTGGCAGGCCCGGCCCATGAAGGTCTCTGGTACTGGATTCGATCGTCAGAAATCTAACAAATCGCTTATTAATTTTAAAGGAGTTGTTATTAAGTTCTACGTCTGATTTTACAGAAAAATTAATACCATCAACAATTTTTTTCCTACTTTTATTTCATATCAAGTTAATAATTTCATTTTGAATTCGATTTCCACCGTAAAAAAAATGCAATTTCTTAACTAAAAAATAATTGAAGCTTTTTTTTCTTTTTTTTTGCTAAAATATAAATCAAATTTTTTGTTATAATACATATGACACATGCCAACCATTTTTCAAAATTCATACATAGATTTTTACAAAAAAAGAATGCTTTGCTTGCATGTAATACATACAAAAAATTATTATTTCTCAAGTGCTAAAAATAATTGAGTAAAATTAAAAAATTTGGCAGCCCTCTCGGCTCCTCCTCGTCTGCACGACCCTGGAAGAAGGAAATTGATAAACTAGACGTTTTTTGAAAAAAAAATTAAATTTATTTAAAAAATATAAAATAATCAAATACTGCTTTTCAAAATTATTATTTATAAGTTAAAATGCTAAAAATTTTAATGCGGGAGAAATGATAGAATTCCCGGAGATTTTTTCGCAAGATTTACGATTCCGAGTGATTTGCGGGCGAGAGATGTCTACATGTAAACTAAAAAATTGCGGAATCCCGCTGATGGGAGGAGACCTGGCAGCCCTGCTCAGAATAGGTTAAATCTTCCATTTTATTAACTATGAATTTGATGATAAAAATTTTGTTTATAAAAAATTGCCCCTAAACGTGAGTCTCGAGGTTTTAATAATAATAACATATTATTAAAGAAAATCTGCAAATGATTTACTTTTTTTAAAAATGCAAAAGCAAGCATATTTGAAAAAAAATATCAGTTACGAGGATTTGATGACTTGTTATGTTATTTGATAACAAAATTATTTTTTTATTAGTTATTAAGACACGATTTTTCAGGAGATGATAGCTGACTTATATATGAAATCATTTACCTCAAAAACGTATTTTGAAAAAAATGCAACTTAAGCGGTGATGACGCTATGCAATTTAGATTGTTTACAAAATCAATAAATATTTTGAATAAATGAATTATAAAATTTCTAATTCTAGTGTGGATGGATAGGGGGCTAACATCTTTGCAAAAACTTTGTATTTTTTAAGACTCCTCAAAATTTAAATGATAGTTGACTAATTGATGAAATCATTTACCCCAAAAAACGTATTTTGAAAAAAAAAGATGCTACTTACGAGGTCTTGCAGCGGTGACGACGCTATGCAATTTAAATTGTTTACAAAATCAATAAATATTTTGAATTATAAGATTTCTATTTTCTGTGCGGGGGGGGGGGCTAACATCTTATTGCAAAAACTTTGTATTTTTGAGAACTCCTCAGAATTATGATGTTTGAGCCCTTAATGCCCCCTCCCTCCGTTATGCCGATGACACTGATCGAGGGGTTCATTCAACAATAAATTTAAAAAAAATACTCAGGTAGAATAAAATTATTTAAGAAAATGCTAAGTAAATATTATAATAAAATCCTTAGTATATTAAAATAGTAATATAATTTATATTTATAGGACACATTTGTTCATATGCTTTTTTAGCTGCTGTTGTTTTACATTTCATTTATAAGATAAATAAAAACAAAAAACACAAATTGTGAGTTATTAATATTATAATTATGATTTTTATGAATATGAGATGTATAAAAATCAATGAAATTTATAGTTAAAAAGTTCGCCAAATTTTTTTCCTAGAATTTTAAATACATTAGTTTTATAATAAAAACCCCCACCATATATCGATTAATATTATGTTTATCATACGTACTATAGGATCAGATACTGTCAATATAATATATATTATTGAGGCTAATCAAAATAAGTACGTATATTATTTGTTTTATTTATTGTATACAATTAATTTATTTTTAGTAATTATATTGATTTTTTTAAATAACAAATATGAATTTGTTGGGTAAAATATTCAAAGAATTAATTTTCACCAATTCATAACAATCAATTCCTTATGCTTTGAATATGAATGTGCCTTGGATTTAAATAAATGATTCTTAACCCGCTAAACTAGTCGCAAATTTTATATTTAGGCCCGAGCTCAATCCGATATTTGTATAAAATTATAAATTAAACACATTTTTAAATGTTAAAAAAAACACATTTTTAAATGTTAAAAATTTAATTTTAAAAAATGAGAAGAGAAAAACATTAATTTATTTTTTAAACTCGAACCCTGTGCAAGGGCTTGTATATGACTCAAAATTTTCTATATCGATTTCAAGATTTTAATGGATCAAATATGTATATTCTATTGATATTAATTGCCCCTCCCTTTTTATTTAATGAGTTTAAAATGAATAAAAAGATGTTAATAATAAACTACAAACAAATAAAGGGATTTTTATTCAATGTGAAACATATTTAAATTAGGATAGTAAAGAGTGAAATAATATTTATAGTAAATAATGGATTGTTTTTTTCCAATTATTAAAATTAAAAAAATCGATATTTTTTGTAAGTAATATTAAATTTCACTAAAATTTAAAAAAAATTAATTTTGTATTAATTTAAGCAAAAGGCAATATAAAATAAATATACATTGTAAATTTTTCTTTTTAAAATAAAATCTGTACTTTGTGCAATTAAATTTTTTCTACATATAAGAAAACTATGATCAAAAAATAGCTAATTAATTTTTGAAAAATAAAAGTTGGCTTTACTGTTCTATATGTATTATCAGAGGGAGAGGATTTTACAGGTAAAATTTTTCACAGTTTACAGATATTTTTTTTTTGATTTGGACCAAAATATATGTATTAAAAATTTATTATATATGAATGATTTATTAACATACTTATTTAATTATTTATATGCTTTTATATGATATAATCATTATTAATTAAATAAAATTTAATTTCGAAAAATAATATATTCTATTCAAAATCTTTAGAAATATCGTTTAATTAAGCACAAATGAATGAATGACATTGATATAAGAGCAAAATTTAAAAATGAACAAGGATATTGTCACCTATGATCGTGGTTATACCACCAATCGATCTTTCGTCAAGCTTACTCGTTATGAAGCAATAGGGTTTGTATATATTTTTCCCGTAATTTTGATTCTCGGACTTATAAAAAATTATATTTTATGTCACGCCTTCAAAAGAGTCCGGATAAGATCTAACTTAGGACGTTTGTTAAAAATCTTATTAATATCGGATATCATTCTATGGATCCTCCTCCTTTTTTATCCACTTATAAGCAGTATCGGTTCTTATTCTAACGTTTATTATTCTGCCTCTCAACCTTGGAACTCCTTTATTCTCTACTTTCTGCAACCGGCTCTCAATATTTTTTTCATACTTAACATACATTTGGTGACCCTTATGGCGGCTAATCAATATCTGATGTATGCATTTCCAAGGATGCACATGGTATGGAGACGTAAAAAGTATATACTGAAGTACGTGCTCATAATTGATTTCTTCATCATAGCCTCCTTGGAGTACACTATGCTAAAGTGGCTGGAAGTTACTCGATATCAACAAACCAGCCATAACTTTTATGACAAAAAACCCCGTGACATATATTATACAGACGTGGTAGCCAATCCCTCTGATAATTACATATCTTACAAGGTTTCTAACAACCTTATCCTCGTCATAGCTCCGCTCATATTTCTCATCTTTTTGAGTTTTTCCAATCTACGGTTTTATCTGCAGAACAAATGGCTCGAGACTGTGACAAACGGTAAAAAGGTGTCTCCTAAATTGGGGACACATCATCACACCGACAACCAACCACACATTAACCTACGTAATAATGCTGATAATGAACATGACATTCAAACGACAGCTACTACTTCTTCATGCGTTGATAATTCAGGAGCCATCAGAGATAAGACACCTGAAAAGTTGGATAGATCATCGCCTGTTAGGGTAGGGGAAAGTGACGAGAACATACAGATGAGTCGTCAGGACGTTAAAGCCATTAATGCTTCTAAACACGAAGAAAAACTTTTGAGCATATTAATCATAATACTGTCGTTCCAGTATTTGGTATGCAACATTCCCATAGCTGTCATACAAATACTTTATCCTGTGTATGAATGCTACCCTGGTCTATGCAGATTCAGGTTCTATGTACTCATAGCCAGCATGTTACAATACTTGAATCCCAACATCGATTTCTACATATTTTATGGATTGAAGAGTCTAAGACGAGCTGTGGGAAACTTATGGACGTCTACGAAAAGAAAAAAGCAAAGGAAAGCTGGTGATGATAAGGAAAATCACTTTGATTCATCGTCAACACTTGATGAGGCAGATGGTGTTAAAACTTCGAAAAATTTAAAAAATCGAGATGTCAGAGTGCCTGCACTGAAAGAGACTGATACCGACAATGCCTCTGATTGATCGATGAAAGGTTTGATTATACCACCTTTTAGTAAACATTATGTTTTTAAATGTACATATGATTTTTTGAAATGTTTATATAAATATTTTTATTTGAAGAGTAAATCGCATATTTTTAATCTTATCATTTCATATCTTATATTATGTTTCTTTGAAAATTTTAATTTCGAATAATCAAAAATATTAATTGATATTAATATAATTTTAGTATGTATTAATATCTTAATTGCCTATCCTAAACACTTTCAATTTTTTTATATTATAAACAAGCATGTCGTATTTATTCGCATGTTTAATATCATATTTGATTAAATAAGTTTAGTTGTCATGTTAAATTATAGTGGTTAAGTCCAAACAATTTTGTAAATATTATTTATATAAATAAATTAAATATGATCATTATCCTTTAAATTTAAATATTTAATTTTTTTATATAAATGGATTTTTTTTGATATAATTAATTATTTGTATAAATTTAAATCATTATACCATTATATAGTAATTAACTGACAGATTACTGATAAAAAAATTTAGTGTTATATTTTACCTTTTAAATTACCATAACGCTAAAAAAAAATATTGATCCATAAAAATAAGAAAGAGCACATCATAAATATGATCAAATTAATCCATTTATAATTTGATATAATTAAATTGTATCGATTTTTCATTAAAAAAACATAAATGGATTATATTTTTGTGTGACTTGCAGTTGCAACCCATTTTTTCGAAAAAATATATATTAATAATATTACAATAGTATATGGATTTTAATTTTATTTAATATTATAATATTAATTTATTACTGTATTTTTTTTTAATAAATGAAAATATGACAAATTTTAAACTTCTTGTCTTAATTCATTAAATTATATTGGATTGTTTGCGAATAGAAACTTTATTATGAAAGTATGTAAACAACATTTTTTTAATATGCTATCATGTTTCAATTCGGACATCATATATGAAAATAATTTTTTAAAATAGAAATAAAATTTAAGGGGAAAACCCCAATCTAGTGCCCCCCCCCCTCTCACGCCATGGTATCTATAAATCAAATTGATACAAAAAATATTCCATTATAATATGACGAATTTTATTTTTAAACTTTGTTATAAAACGTGATAGTGACATTTTAAGCTCTTAGCCCTATGCGTTATATACATAACAGGGTTATATATATAACAGAGCAACACTTGGTTCTTTCAGAAAAAGCCCATCAAATTGGAAAATTAATACTACTCCTGTGATAAATTAGCACTCTTTTGAGTGTTGAGAATATTTATTCATATGAAGCTTCTTACACGACAATTATTAGGGCTGTTGCAGAGCCTTTATAAAACTGTCTATATGGTATGCCAATATTTATGACATCTAATTTAAAATATTTCCATAAAAATCCATTTGTTTTTCAACTAATTCATTTGCAATTGCAAATATTGATTCGAATATGTTCGATTTTCATTCCATATTGAGATTAAGAAGAATATTTTATGGTGCCATTTTTTCCCTGATAAAATAATTTGTATCATAAGGAGGTAAGGTTTTAGAGCAGGAGAAAAACTTATAAGCATCACCGAAACATTAAAACAAAAAATAATGAATAATTTTAAAATAAGTGTCTTTTAACACTTCGTTGCATAGGTTGGGCTATGTAGACCCCAACCATTTAAAAAAAACGTTATTACAAATTCTTTCGATATTTTTTGGATCTTTTAGTTTTAGGTAATGTATATATGTAAAAATTAATTTCGATTTTTTTCGATAATTTATGAATTTTTAGAGCCTTGACCCCCCCCCCCTTCCCTAATTTGTCATTATCATTGATATATTAACAATAAATAAAAACTTTTATATATCATTTTTATTGGCTACGAACAGCATTTTGGAAGAAGGTAATCCAATATAAAACTTAATGATATAAAAATACTCAGGTTCGTCTTAAGAAACTCTGAATAATATCGTGATTGTATAATAAGCTTATTTTAGCACAGTGATTGATTTTAATATTCGATTTAAACCTATTTAATTATTATCATTCTCGAGTTTATTTGTGAATGTATTTTTTGTTAAAGATTTGTATTTATTTTGTATATATCAATAAAATTTAATGACTAGTAAAATAATCTATTCTTGTAAAATTTTATCAAATATTTATCTGATTTTTAATAATATTAATAACATCTTGTATTTCTAACGTAATAAAATTAGAGGTCAAATTAATTTATTATTGGAAATATAATATTTAAATCTCATTAAATTTTAAAAAGAAGCATAAAAATAGTGTTTAGTTTAGATTGTTAATGAAATTAAATGCCGATAATAAATATGCAGTGAAATAAATAATATCTAGATTTTCATAAAAAATTCAATAAAAAAATTAAGTTAAAGTTCGCAAAAAATAATTATAAGAACTTAATTTAAAGATTAAAATTTTTTTAAAGTAATATTGTGTTTAGATTGTTAATATCAAATGTCGGAATTCGGTGAAATACATAATGTTTGGGATGCCAGAATTTAAAAAAAAATCCAGAGGGGTGAAGTGGGAGTTCCTGGAATTTAAAGGGTTTTTTGAGAGGGAAGTAAGGTTTACCAACCCCCCCTCTCAATTACTGGTAAATAGTAATGAGAATAAAAAGCCAGGTCATGATTGACAAAGAATAAAAAGGAAGGAGAGAGGAACCCCTATACCAATATAAACAATGGCGATAATACCCCCTTCTCCTCTAATTTTACTCCCATACTCTCCTGCTACTAAATTAAAATTAACAAATAAAGAAATCCAAATCAAGGATTAGCAAAAAAAGGAAATCCAATTAAAACTTACTCACCCCCCCCCCCTCCGATTCTATTCGAATGACAATATCTTCATATTTACTACCCCATACTTTCAAAGAAAATCTTGCATCATATTCCCATAAAAATTCTATCGGGGTTTTCAGCCCGGCCCTGAATAATTTTTTATGTAGAAAAACGACATAAATTTGTTTAAATCAACTTATAAGCTTTTTAAAAAAATAAATATTGAAGAGATCTGCAAAAGTAGGCTCGGGCCGGGCCTGATATTTTTTAAGAAAATTCGGGCCGGGTCGGGCCTTATAAATTTTTTTAAATATATCTAAATTTATCAATTTTATGTTGAATTTTTTATGTAAAATAAAAATATGTGGTTTTATTTATAGTAAGTAGACGCCATATAACATATATCGTTTATTTTGAGTAATTGATTTCTATATTTAAATAAATTCGGGCCGGGCCGGCAAAATTTTTTAAAAAAATTTTGAGTTCGGGCCGGGCAAAACTTTTTTAAAAAAATTTTGAGTTCGGGCCGGGCAAAACTTTTTTAAAAAAATTTCGGGCCGGGCTTGAAAAATTAGGCCTGATGAAGATCACTAATTTAAAGATTTAATCGAAAATGTAAAATGTTTGATCAATAATGGAAAAACACCAATGGCTAATAAAAATGTGCTATTGAAAAAGGATAAGATTTAATCAAAGTAGGAAAAGGTATTTAATTTAATTACCACTTATTTCCATTTCTAATATTTTTGTCAATAACTGTTCTGTCCTTTATATTAGTATTCTTGAGTGTTCTTAAAAAGCGCCTCTCCAAAATAGCTAACATTTTTTCGAAAACGTTGAAGCGCCGCTATTAGTAAAAACTCAGGAGCGGGGAACTAGTTAATTTGCATAAATTTTTAAAAAATTCTCTTAATTAATGTATTTTTCTGAATACAATAAAATAGTATATTTTTATTTAAATAAACTATTTAATTATCCCTGATATTTATATTTTTTACCATTTTTTAAGTAAGCTATAAAACCTTTCATAAAAATAAAAACTGTGGATGACGATATCGTGTTATTAACAAATAGAAACATATTGAAATGGTTGAAATAATTTTCGTGTCCATCCTATAAGAAATATTTTTCTCTCGTTAAGTCCTTCGTACGTGATATAGGAAAGGGCCTATCGTAGTATCGTTATTAGTGGCCAGTCAGGGTGTCTAAAAGATGAAAATTATTTGTTAACATGATTGAGAGCCCCGGTAAGGGGGTTTTGGTTTTTATATCATGAAAAAATTCAGGAGTCTAAATTGTAGTCTATATATATCAAAACAATATTAGACACAGGTCAAATGTGTTCTTCCTTTATTTTATTTATCCATTCAATGCAATGAGTACATAAGTAAGCGTCGTAACTACAATTTAATATAAATAAATTCGCTCAAAAGAAAGAAAGTGTATTTTCCTCTAACTATAAAAAATCCCCCCTATTTATGTTAGTTCTAATTATTTATGTGTACTTTTATCCAGCCAATCACAAAATGTATTTCTCAAAAAACGAGCAGGATATTTATATGTATTTAATTTGTTTAGCCATTTCATATGATTAAAAATAACCGGGACACACATGGTAATAAAAAAACATAAATTTATTTTCAATATGATAATATTTTAATTACTTTTACGTGGCACTTCAACTTATTCAGTATGATTCCCACAAATCGCCCGTTTCAGCGTAAGTTTAAAAAATCTAACCGCATGTGCCTAAAGAGGACTAAAAAAATATTTATATAGTCTCGAACGTGATTATAAAAGTATAAAAAAATATATATACTTAAAATTTTTGAATGACGATGTTGAGTTGTAAATAGGAATTATTTTTATTGTCATAATTAATTTACTATAGTAAAAATTAGTCGCATTATTCTTTTAACCTCGCATTATTCTTTTAACCTTGGTTAAAAGAATAATGCGACTAATTTTTTAAGGGGATAGGTTTTGAAGAGGGGGAATAGGGTGTCTCCAACAAATTTCTGCTATGCGGATTTTGACTATGGGTTGTGATGTAAGTATAGGATAAATACCCGGGATTTGGCTCAGGAAAATAATTTATTCTTCCTGGGAATTATATACATATAAAATATATTGTAATTTATTTTATTGCCGTTTCTTTTCTGTTATCATTTTTATCTTCAAATTTTAATAACTTATTCCTATTGGAATAATATCTGGTTTATGGACAAACATAATCTCTTATTCTCATTAAATAACTTACTTACCAACTCATTGTTTGTATACGTTATTTTATCTGTTACATAACTTCTAAATACATTGTATTGTAAAACATAAAATTTTTTTTATCAGTTTTTGCTATTTTCTGATCTTTATATTAAAAATATACAATTAGAGATAAACATAAAAAATAGACAAAATATAAATCAACATTTTTGTTACTTTTTATTCATTTATTATGGCTTAAATATGCTAGATATGCTAGCAGTGGCGTCACTAGGAAAGGGCGCGCAGTGACTTGAGCCCCCTGAAAAATTTGAATGGCCTCCTGATGAAGCATTAAATTTTTTTTAATGGTATCCCCTTGAACTAAAAAGAAATTTTTTTGATTGCCTTCTGAGCGATTTCTTTTATAATTCTATTAAGTAATATATAGATTTAATTTTATTATTTAAAAATTAATAAGACTATCTAAATTTTTATTAAATGAATACTATTTTAATTATTAAATTAGATTAATACACATCAATTATATTTTCACTATGTCAGCTTTTCAATCAAATTCTGTATTAAAAATAGAATATCAATATTCTAATTAAATATATATTTAGGTTAAAAGTTGAAGCTTAATTGACTTTTATTATTTAAATTATTATATAACCCTAATTAAATAAATATAATCATTTATTAATTTAAAATAAACAAATTTAATATTGTAATTAACCGAGTTCAAAATCACTAATCAACTATATTATTCATTTTTGCCTCTTCCTAAAAATATTATCAAGGACCAAATAAGTATAATAGGAGATTTCTTTATAAAAGTAAATAGACATATAGTTTATAATTCTCTATTATATATAATTGTTTATAAAATATTAGGTAAAATGCCACTTTACAGACGTATTTTAGAGTTATAGATTATATAACAGTTAATATTTTAATAAAATTTATTAATAAATGCTTTTGAAAATAAATATATGTAACAATTTGCCTTCAATTCTTTAACGCCATTTATTTATTTAAAAATATATATTATAAAAATTAAACATCTTATTATTCATCTCACAATGGATGTTATCCTTATATCGTTTTTTTCCTTCTCTTTTTATTATGTGTTTTTAGGAAAGCTATTTTTTTCTTCTTTGATAAACTTTTTTTAAATATGTAAATATTTTGATATTAATACAAACTACAATTATTTTAAGACATAATATACCAACTAGAGGTGGTGCGACAATAATATAAAAAATCTTAATTGCTTTAATCATATCACTCTGGGTCCTTATTTTATAGTTACAAAATGTTTCATTTCTAACATGGCATCCTTTCCGTGTATAACTCGAGACTTCACTATATTTGCATTATTATTTATTCTAAAGATTTTTAGTGTTTTTATTTTATCAATTTATATAAATAATAAATTCTAATATGAGTTTACATCATGAGTGTCATGGCTATGACTCCAAATTAACCAACATCTATTATTTGTGTGGCAATGTAATTTAAGATTATTACTCCTGCTGATGAGAGCATATGATTGCATAATTTAAATGCGCAGAAAGTGTCTAGTCGTTTATATAACATTAAAAATGGAAGATAATCTTTCAGAAATTTAATGTCTCACAATTATCTTTTCAATTAATTATGCTTCCATCAATCATCTAAGAGGAAGATCTAACCAACATATAGTTGCTTTGAATTGGTTAGTCCATTCTATAAAAATTGTCTAAAATGGTAACAGAGAGTTTTATTAGTTTCATGACCTTTTGTCAATGTAAGTTGCTAAGAATTATATTATATTATGTGGTTTTTTAAAATATCAATTGAGGCATATGTATGAATTAATTAAACTTTTTTTATCACTTGTAAATCTTTAGACGTAAAATTTTTTATATTAGCATCGAAAATATTTTATATTGTAATAAATAGATTTTGTATTAAAAAATATTATTTTTAGAAATGTCTTGTTTTAATTATTTATATGCTAGTTTATTTTGTATTCATAATATAATAAATGACAAAATATGAAATTCAGAATAATTGTTTAGAGTTAGCAAATTTTAATAATATAATATATTAATATAAAACCCGGTCGGGAAGTGGGGGGAGAAGCCCCCTACAAATTTTTTTTTTAGTTGAGCCCCCTGACATTGTAAAGGCTAGCGACGCTCCTGTATGCTAGTCAGCTATTTCTTATAGTTGTGGATGTGGTTCCTTAGTCGACGATAATAAAAAATATGAGATAAAATTTATTTAGTAGTGTAGTTAAAAATGATTTGATTTTTAAAAACAGCCCGATTAAGATTTTAGCCGAAATAATATTTAAGATTCAGGATTTGGCAAGTAGAAGCCCAACATCTATGAGCAAAGTTACCATTCTAGTTAAAATCGTAATCAGGTCGTTTTTAAAAAATTGTTCCGAATCGGGCTTTTAACAACACTATTATTTATATGTTTTGTTGATTATATACATCCGTTATAGACAACATCTACATGATGGAATTCTTTCAAACCTAATAAAATTAGAGCAACCAATGGAGAGATACATATATCTTCTAGTGAATGTATTTTTAATTCTGGATAGATTTAAAAACACTTTTATCTTATATTGCTATTTTAATAATATAAATTTATTTATATTTGGCCATATTGTTTACATTAATTTTATAATATATATATAATATGTGTTTAACTTATTGTTTTAAATACTTCTACCTATTTTCCTATATTTCAGCTATTTTTCGTAAATATTTTCAAGACTTGAATTCTCGGAAATTTTACATATCTAGCTATTATCGGTTGTAATTTAATTTTAAAGCAAAAAATTATATTTTTATGGAAGCAAGCAAGTATATTAGATTATAAAAAAAATAAAAGCAGATATTTTTAATTATTTAAAAAAGGATTGTTCGTGATATATTCGTTGTAATGTCTAGTACATCAAAGAATTGAGTTAAAATTAGAAGTCTGGTCCTTTTAGAATTTATTTTTACCCGGCCTGTCAAAAGTTTTACCCCCGGTTCCTACGAATGTTTCCCGGCTAGGCTTTTTAAAATCTAGAAATGTATCCAATGGAAAATAACAAATAATGATGATTTTGGTTTTTTTATTAGAAAGATAAACATAAAATATAGTGAAAAAATTGTATTTATGAATGAATACTAGTAAAATTATAAGTAAAAAAATATATTATCTTAAAAAATTAGGCTTTGATATAAATTTTTCTCTATTCTCTATTAAGCGCGCCTAGTATTTCTGCATTTTTTCCAGACGTTACCCGACCTATATGTAGAACTAGTACCGGGCATTGCAGACACCTAATTAAAATTAATTTAAAAATTCGAAATAAAATAAACTTTGCATGTGTCAAACTAACTATTTATGGAATTAGTTGAATCTTTCATTATAGGAAATGTAATAATTAATTTCCTATTTATATTACTTTATTGAACATAATAATATTTATAAATATAACCTCTATATTTGTTATAATATTATTTTATTATATAATTTTTTGGCACCAATAACATATGTTTCTTGAGATATATTTTTTTATGTTACCTTGTAAATCGTAGATCATTTCATTGATTCATTATTATGCAACAATATATAATATGCTTTTTATATCATATTATATTCAATTTTAAAATTTTATTACTATATCTATTTAAGAATGTTTATTCTTATATTCTAGCCATTTTTCTTAGTTATCAAAATAATAAATCATTTTTAGATGATATCAAATTAAATCCAGAGTTTATTGCTAATAATAAACTGCCCTATCATATAGCATTTCTCATTATAGACGAAGAACCATCTTACGTCGATTTATCAAAACTAGTCATATGGTCAATTTGTTTTCAAATATATAAAATCACATTTTTTGACCCAAAAGGTACTTCCAAACAATATTTTATCTTACTTTATAATAATAGGAAGTATCAAAAATAATATTGATATCTTGAAGAATGAAGTCAAATCTTGTATTAATGCTTTTCATAAATGCAATTATTTCTCCTATGATGTTTATTATAAAATATTGAATGATAACAGTTATAAAATCACTCATAAAAGTTTATTATTTTTTTGAGATTATCTATAATATTATTTATAGATGGATATAGCAATAAAGTTATAATATATATTGCTGATAGTTGGGATGGTTATAAAGTACTAAATAAACTTTGTATAAAATATTGTTTTCAAAAATCGGATCATACAAAAAATGGAATTTGTCAATCTAAAGATAAAGTATTAATGGATTCTCAAACATTTTCAACAGCAATGAATTGTAAATAAATCTGGATATTTTTTAATAATTTGCAATTAAAATGAGACATATATAAATTTATTTAAATTTAGTTTTTCATTATGAATTATTTTTAATATTACAATTTAATTATTTATATTTGTAAAAGCTATTTATCCTGAACCAAACATGGCCCTTCGGTTTGGAAGTATATCAACTCTAGCAAATTTTATGCCCTGGCATCTGCGATTTACTGAAATTATGTAAGACATATATTTATCATATATAGACCTGCAGTGTTTAAAAATATAATCATTGGTTGATAATGTGTTTAGCCTCCATCATCCATCATGAAGGATGGCTAGAATTGGCAAAATGAGATAATTTTTTAACATATTCATTAAATGATTACCTTTCATATATTGTTTTATGTAAAAAAACAAATTATAAATTTAATTTATTATCACATATGGAAATAATTTTCAAATTTGGCAGACATATTGATTATCTTCTTGAATTCAACACGAAGAAAAATTAACCAGTTACCTTTGAAGATTTTCAGTTTCACTAATAGATGTCCAAACCTTTTCTGGAATATACCAAATTTTTATCAAAATTGAAAGAAATTGTATTTGATTTGACAAAACATATGTTTTTTTAATGAATGATTGCTTGCTAACTTTGTTAGCTAAATTGTAATTTATATCCCCTGCCTGACCTTCATCCTCTACATTTGGGCCATTCCATGTCAAATCGATCAAAAAAGGCACATTTTTGGCTGGCCCCTTTTAAAATTGTTAAATTTCTGGAATCATTTAGATAGGTATATAAATGAGAAAGCCGTTTATTTTATTTCGCTAGCACACCTGGTTCTCGCGATATAGGGGTTCAAAAGCGCAAAAAAGAGCCACTTTGGAATCTGTAAAATTTTTAAAATGCTTATATCTCAAAAACTATTTATAGTAAAAAAATGTATAATATATCATATTGTAAATAAAAAAAATCTCTAAAGGGCTATCAAAAAAATAATAAAAATTGGCGTCAATTTGAGTTTTTAACTTCCGGTTTACCTATTTTGTTTCACCTGTATTTTAGCAAAAAAGGGAGTTTGTTTTCGAATTTTTTTTGCTTTTTATTTAGACACCTTTTATAAATATATATACGATGTCAAAATCTTGGCAACGCAATCGACTTTTCCGAAATATACATTTTTACCAAAAATTGAAGAAAAAAGTAGATGGCGCCAATGGTTGTAAAATATTCTTAAGGAAAATAGAAATTTTGATGCGTTTATAAGAAATGTGTAAAATTTTTCAGTTCTGCCCTCCCCACCATCCCTAAAATGTTTTACATTTTTTAGATACTTATTAGCTCGATAATGTATAACAGCTGCAGTAAAAACGAATATTTTATTAGGCATATTATCGATTATATTTTACAAAATAAACTGTTTATAACGATCTCTCTTTCTGCTTAATATTTTTAACTTGTCCGTTCAGATGAATTTTAAATAATTCAACCCGTAGCGGCTTATTATTTTATCATCTTTCTACCAATAACATTCTGGATTTGGAGAGTGCAAAAACATATATTCTAGGTGCAGATCAAAATTTTTTTATTCTATATCACAGATGGACGTACCAAATATTAAAATGTTGCAACCCATTTAATCTACAGAGACATGCTTATTATCGTGAGAATCTAAGAACGATTCTACCCTGGATGACCCAAAAAAATTTACCATTCAATTTAGATATGTTAATATGCTCTTCATGCCGACAAAAATTAGCAAACATTCCTTATACTTCAAATGACAATGTAGATATTGATTCTCCCTCTCATATAATTAATCAAGAGGCTATTGATAACATTAATATATCCCTACAATCAAATGGGTGAAAACGCTTATGTGAAAAGAAATATTCGAAGAAAAAAATATATAGAGTAAAAAAAAGTTTTAACGACTAAAATTATACCATTTTCTTCATCAAAATATGAAAAATTCGATGAAATTCTAGATACCTTAAAAATTATATGAAAGATATTTATTATTGAAAATTTCTTACATTATTAAGTGTCTAATGGGCATATGCCCACTCTGATCCTCAGTTTAATTAGTATATTTAATAGAAATTCAAATTTTTTAGTATAAAAAATGAAAATATCCGGTTATTGATAAGTCAGCAGCCATAATCCGTAATTTCATAAAGCACCATCTATTTTTTTCAACAATTTTTGGAGTCGATAGCGTCGCCACGGTTTTGATATCATATATATATTTAACAAAGGTGTCTAAATAAAAAGCAATAAAAATATTTCGAAAACAAGCTCCCTTTTTTGCTTAAAAACACAGGTAAAGCAAAATAGGTAAACCGGAAGTTAATGGCTCAAAATAGCGCCAATCTTTGTTTTTTGATAGCTCTTTAGATATTTTTTTTTACCTACAATTTGATATATTTTATTATTTTACTATAAATAGTTTTTGAGATATAAGCATTTTAAATATTTTACAGTATCCAAAGTGACTCTTCTTTGCACCTTTGAGTCTATACCTATATCTCGGGAACCAGGTATGCTAGCGAGCTAAAATAAACGGATTTCTCATTTTCTTAACTATCTAAATAATTCCAGAAATTTTTAACAATTTTAAAAGGGGTCGGCCGAATCGTAATCGATTTGACGTGGAATGGCCCATTTACTAATTTAATATTATTGTTCTCAGATGTTTTTTAATAAATTCAGTCAATGTACAATTTTGTTCTGTCATATATTTTCATATAATGTTTAATTTTTGAAATTTGGATTTTAATATGGAAAAGACATCTTCAATGCCCAACCTGGTATACCTAAAAAAAATTTATTTGGGCTGGGCCAGGCAAGAAAGGCTGATGGACAAAAGGTAGAGATGCCCTGCACATAGAAAATATAAATAAAATTATTCTAAAGCCTAATTTTGTTAAAATAATATATTTTATTTTGCATATAATTTTAATGATTAAATAACCAGCATTATGATCATTCATTCATAAAAACGATTTTCTTTCCCTACATTTCATGTTTATAATAATAAATCATGAAACATATATCCTCATCATTATTGGTTATTAGGATATATTTCTGGATTGTAAAAAACTTGGCTTGGCAACCTTACTAAAAAAATTGGGTCATGCCTGGTATAAAGTTGGCCAGGTTAGGTAAGTGATATTTCAATCAGGTAGGGCCTGAATACTCATATAATATTACCTGCATATCATTAACAAGAAACCATTACAATTAGATATCTGCAAATCATGCAGATCTATTTTTAAAAAATAATATTTTCTTGGACTGGGTTGGGCCTAATATTTTTTAAAAAATTTCGGGCCGGGTCAGGACTAAATTTTTAGATATGATATTACATTTTGTCAATTGATATATTTTAAAATTCCTGCAAGAAACAAGGCCCTAATATTTTATATTTGTAGAATTTTTTTACAAAAAAAAAATTAAAATTTTCTATATACAGATTAGTGCTGTTAACGTTACTTCAAAAAAAACACGTTACTTCTTACATCAAAAAAAGGAATGTGTTACGTTACCTTGTGAAGAAAGGAACGCGTGTTACTGGCTTTTCAGAAAGTAACATGTTACTCGCTACATGAAAAATTAAATATATAATAAATAAAATTATACAAAAATAATATATTATAAGATGAGATCTTTTTATAATAATTTTTTCCCCTATATAATATAAATAAAATTATTTCAAAATTTTGATAAGATAAATAAGAGAGTGCTTAACACATCTTTTGCCGTGCTAAACACACGTTCAATAAGCACAGAAAATGGGAGGATTTTTTTGTATTTAATAAATATAAATTTTATTTGAGGGAATTCATTAAAAATTATAAAATAATCCTTATTTTGAAAAAAGCTTAATAGATCATCTTCAAAAAATCTTCATTTAGATCCTTGTCAAATTTTTATTATCTTTATCAGAAAATAATCTGGTATGGTATGTGTGTTGTTTTTTAAAGGAAGCAAAATCTGCTTTTTTTTTGTCAAGAAGTTTAAGCTTTCTACCTTCGTTGACCTAAAATTTTATCCAGAGTTAATCTAATTTAAGTAGCAAGATAGTTATTGCTGATATTATATATTCATAGATGTGTTCGAGTCGATTAAAATTAAATATAATTAAAATATAAATTATAAACATGTATACCTTATGTCTTGCAGGATTGCATTAATCAGTGGCTTACAAAACTTGAAATTATTTAAAGTAATTTAGCTTTAATATTATAATAGTTATCGTAGGAATGAGATATCTCAAATGTTCTAAAATCGATAGAGCCGTAGCAACAGGTTCCATAACATATAAAATTATATATAGTATATATATCATATTTTTTAATTAATATTAACAATAAAAAAATATATGGACGACTTGTCATTATTCGGATTTATCACAATATTCGTCAAATTGTTTATTCTCCTTAATAAGTCTATTAATTTCACGTATAAAAAAAATCGATCTTGTTATAACCCTTTTAATCAGATATCTTCCTAATTTTTTTCTTAAAAATGGCTGCACAGTTTTGAGACTGCCCATATTTATTCCACAATTGAGGAAATATTTGATTTGGGACACAATTTTACAAAATTTAGACTCCTTAATTTTTTGGTATATAAAATATTAGGGCCAGGGCAGGTTAAATCATCTTCATCTGAAAAAATAATTCTTTTTAAATCTAATTATAATATTAGATAATAAGAATATAAATTAATAATCTTGATTGATTCAATATTAATTAGATTAACAACATTGACTGAAAATTTAAAAAAAAAGGAAAGAATTTGGTGGTTGATCTGGCTTAAAAACTCGGTTTAATTTTATAAAATTAAAAAAATTAATAAAAATAAAAAAATTAATAAAAATAATTTTATAATACAATATAATATGTTTTTTCCATATTTTCAAGGAAAAATTTAAAGTAACGTTTTGTGCTACCGTTACTCAAAAAAAGAAAAGCTTTATCGTTACTCGTTACAATAAAAGAAGGTAACGAATGGGGTTCCTAGCGACGTTAATATACAGCACTAATTTAAATAAATTTTGACCGAGTTATTTTTTTCGGGTCAGGCTTTTCGGGACAAATAAAAAAAATTTCGTTCGGGATCGGGCCGGATATGACCAAAGGGGCAGGTCCTCTTGAAAAAGAATCTAGATACAAATACAGATTCTTTGTGAAAAAATGAATCTTAAATACAGATACTAGTATCTTTTTTAAAATATCAAAAAGATAAAAGATACTTGTATCTTTTATTTAATTAGAATATCTTAAATACAAGATACTTTTAAATTATCATTACCAAGTAAATTAGAATAGCTTATAAAATACAGTTTTTACTATTTATTTGTGAAGAACATAACATACACATATAATAAGAATGAATATTTACAATAATTAATAAAACATTTAATGATGAGTTAATTATAATAATCAGGCTTTTATAATATTAGTATTAGCGCATCCTTAACACAGAATGAGAAGGGAGACTAGTATTTTTAATTGGAGTTGAAATATTAATTTGTAGAATATTTAAAATACATTCATTATAAGAATCAAATTTTACAAATAATTTATCACAAGACCTTTGCAGTTTCGGCGTACTTAACATTGCATTAAAACTAAATAACCTTAATTGGAGCTGATGAAAGTATTGCCATATTATATGTATAAAAAATTTAGGATAATAATTAAGCATTTATAATATATTTCGACTTAATATAATTTAAAACCTCCAGCTCAATGTTATTTGCATTATTGATCTCAGCACCATTTGTTTCACCAAAAGAAAAATAATGATGTTAATCTATTGGTTTTATAGTTTGAGCATGATTATATACTATGGTACTACATTTAGGGCTTCTTTTATTAATATATTTTGAAATTATTTTTTTTATTATCCGACTTAATCCATGATTTCTTAAAATATGGATGTGAAATTGATGACAAAAAAGCCACATTATATTCAAATCATAAGAAAATATTTTCTTAAAATCTTTTGCCCATACCATCTTGGGCAGTTTTTAATAAAGGTAGACAATATTGTAAACTTGAATTTTTAAGATAACCTATTCTCCTTTTACAATAAATAATATACTTTAATATGTTTAACAAAATTTGTGTTTAACCCTCTATTATTTTTTTGTTTATACAGGTTTTTACATCTAGCTTGTAAATTTTCTTTTTAACTTTAATTTAAAAAAATTTCCATATAATTTTAAGATTGGGATATGATTCAGAGGAACTTATTTCTATAAATTAAATTTCACTGCCATGAGTGTTAATCATCTTACAAATTAAAAATATTACAAAAAATTGGTAATGATTATCGAGTTACATTTATATATAAAATATAATCTATACTTATTTCGTTTTGATGTTGTTATTTTTTATCCTTCTACCTTAATGAGTAAATTTTCCAGATAATTTTGACTGTCATATAATCTATACTTATTTCGTTTTGGTGTTGTTATTTTTTATCCTTCTACCTTAATATGAGTAAATTTTCCAGATAATTTTGGCTGTCAATATATTAAAATAAAGCGGAATAAAATAAGGAAATTAATACAAGATTCTCGAAGAAAATAAAATATACTATGATATGTAAATTTTAAAACATGAATATTAAAAAAAAATCTGTATCTGTATCTCTTGTCAAGAAATGAAAAAGATAAAGATTCTTTTCAGAATAAAGGATCTTAGATACAGGTACTAGTATCTTATGAAATGTCAAAAAGATACTGAGTACAAGATACAAAAGGATATGTTGTATCTTATATACAAGTATTCGCTGTACTGTCCAACTCTGGATATGACTTATTAGCTTTTTATTATCATTATAGTATGCATAATTAAATTTTATTATTATAATAATGGTTGAATAAATATTATGGACCAACCTTGCGCCACCAATATGAAAATTGGTTGGGCCCCAGGTAGCTTAAATAAATGGCAACGCTTTTTAAGTGATCCAATGGCTATAATCCTATATAATTGAAAATGATTGCTGCACTAGCCCTGGAATGGCCCAAAAATATAAATAATATATTTAAATTTAAAAAACAAGAAAAATAGTTGTGACTATTCATTTTCTTATATTTTGTAATAAATTGAATAAAGATGATAAACATTAAATTATCACTGTTATTGCTGAATACTTAAATTTAATGCATAAAGTAGAAAATAAAATAAATATTTTTAATAATCTTTTTAAATATTAGGGTTGCAATGTTATGGCTGGGCTTAGATTTAAAAAAGATACCCGGCCAGAGTTGGGCTCAGGCCGAAATATTTAGATTTTGCAGGTCTATACTGCACGAACTATTAAATCACTTTTTCCTTTTAAAATAATTACAATTTTTATAACACCTTTAAGTTTTATCATATATAAACAATCATAATCTTATATTTTCTAACATCTTTTTATTTAAGAGTATAAATGAATATTTTCTAAATAATTTTTGAAAAAATTAAATCACTTATCTTTATATTATTTCTAGTTCTCGACATTCCCATAAAAATATGACGTTTCGCGATTTTCACCATTGCTTGTGTCAATATTCAAAATGCCAGCAAAATTTTGGAACCTAAAATCAAAATATAAACATCACTATCTAGCCAAATAAAACGTATCCTCAAATATGAATTTTTTTTTCATAGCAAAAATATTATTTTATTTTTAAATTAAACCATGATGAACAATTAGATTTATTGCGCGCCCCTTTGAAATGCTAATGCTTTGACTAATTTTTTTGAATTAACAAAATCCGTCGTTTTTATTGGGTTACTTAGGGAATGATTAGTTTTTATTTCTTATTTATCAATCAAAATTATTAACAAAATTTTTATTTAGAACTTAAAATATACTAGTGCATTATAATATTGTAAAAAAAATAAATATATATTATATTATAAAATTATATATCATATTATATATGTATATAAAATTTTAATTTTTGATGTTAATGTAGCATAATTACACGTATTTTTTATAATCGAAAACTATAATAAAAAAATTCTCAAGATTGAAATGGGAACGCTTTTTAAGATTATTTTAATTAAAATATAAATTTATAAGTTATTACCTCAAAAATGCAATAAACTCTATGACAAATATTTACCAATCCAAATTTATTTCTGAGGTATCATTTATATACGTTTTTTATATAGAATTTTTTTTATTTATATGTACAAGTACTAATGGATATAGGTTTATAAGGATTGCTTGATAAATCAAGAATCTCTCATTTATATTTAAAAAAAATTATCCAAATGGATGTTAAAAACCTCTATTTGGCTAATTAAAAATCCACCAAAAATATTACCTGTGAGATTGCCAAGGTTTGGCTTTTTTGGGGTAATCTGGAAGCTTATTAAATCGACTAAATCCACATTTTGAACAACACTAAAAAAAGGGGGGTAATAAAGAGATTTATTTTATTTGATTCTACAATAATATTTAAACGATGGGCTTACCATGGTGCCAGTTGAGAAATGCGAATATCAAATTCATAAAGATCCACTTTGAACTGAACAATTGTGTAATTTATGAAATTCCTCATCACAATTTAACTATAAGCTCATAAATATATTTAGCGATTTTTTTGGTGTTAATAAGTCAATATTTCTTTTTCAAAAAAAATGTATAAAATATAATATAAATAGATTATTTTTTGATTATTTTTAATGCAAAGAAGTTATCGAGTCGATTTTTTCTATAGGGAAGTTTTTATGCCATTTAACTAAGCGCACCCTTTAAAAAGCATCTCTAATTCCATGAAATCCGCTTTGGCTGCCCTTCTCCCCCAGATTATGAGTTGTAATTCTTTTTGTGATTAATATCTGTAAATTAATTTAAAGTCTAATAAGGATAAAAAATCCTTTAAAATTTTGGTCATTTACCCATTCCTTATTTATTTTTCATGTCAGAAATTACCATCATAAACAGGAA